GCTATATTTATTTGCTATTATATTTAATGGCTTCTTATTTATTCTAAACAAAATTTATTTTATTATTTCTCTCGCTGTAATAAAAAAGGAAAATTGTGGCATTGCTACATGTTCCGTGTTGCCTGCTGCTCCACGGCGATGCTGCATAACTTTTGTGGGGATTTCACTCTGGACCAAGCCACGCCCCCCGGCCTTGTGCCTGGCCCACTCCTCCCCAATCCCTGCCCCCGCTGTCATCTCTGTGTCTCTGTGTGTGTGTGCGTGTGTGTGTGCAAAAATTAGTGGCAAAAGAAGATGCAAGCGGAAAAAAGCCAGCCATGGAAATTACCCGGCAGCTGGAAAAAGAACTTATAATTTTTAGACAGCGAGCACAAAAAGAACCAGAATCAGACCCCTGAACCTGAACGCGCAACCCAAAAAAAAATGGTGGAAAAAAAACCCAACCAAAAGTGGAATGTTAATGAAAAGCCAGCGTGAAATAAAATCATAAATTGTGCAGCTGGGGGGAGTGGGTCCTTGCAGTCCTGCAGCATCCTGCAGCGTCCTGCTTGTTGTTATTATTTGGCATTAGTATGCACATACGAAAGAGCTGCTGCTGCTGCTGCTGCTGCTGCTGTCGGAGAATTAGAGCGGGGGAATCCCCCTCGGAGTTGGATGAGTGCATTTGCGGCGAGCTTGCAACGATAATGTTCTAGTAAGAGCAGTACGTGCGGGTGTCCCTGTGGTTTTCAGCCAGGATTTGCCAAAGGGAGTCGGGGGAGTCCGGAGTCTAGACTTGGTCAGCTAAGCCGATGAGGAGTTGTCAGGAAAAGGGACGGGATTGGAAATGCTGCTGAAGTTGACGAGGGTTGAGGGAATGAGCAGGAGTGAAGGCTGGCTCTGGCATGGGCGTGTTTATTTTTAAGAAAAAGTTGAATTAATAACAAAGAACCCTTCGGGAAAAGGGCATCGCTAGCACCTTTTTATTTCAAGTCCTGTAATAGATTTGTTTTTCTTCGAGAAAACATATAACTGCGACTTTTCGCCACTCAAATGAAAAAATCGACACTTGGCAAGTTTAGAAACGTTTTCCACAACTTCTCACACTTGGCCAAGTTAAGATGGAAAAGCTTTGGCAGGGTTAGAAACCAGGCTAAGATTCGTAGAAAAGTTTATGGAACATTTAAGTGGCTGTCGTCACTAGTTGGGTTACATTTCAAATATTTTTTATTTATAAAAGTTTTTAAAATAATTCCTAAATCAAATTCATACAAATCATGTTTCTAAGGCCATAGGAAAAGTAGGGAAAATATATGAAAATTACATATTCAGCCTCTTCTGTTGCATTTTTATACCCTTGCAGCGTATTATAATTTCAGTCAGAAGTTTTCAACGCAGTGAAGGAGGCACCTCCGACCATATAAAGTATATATATTCTTGATCAGGATCAACAGCCGAGTCGATCTAGCCATGTCCGTCTGTCCGTCTGTCCTTCTGTCCGTCTGTCCGTCTGTCCGTCTGTCCGTTTCTACGCAAACTAGTCTCTAAGTTTTAAAGCTTATCTTAAGCTTATCTTAATGAGATTTTTATCAAATTTGAGATATAGCCATTTATTAGAGCCATTATTATACTCTACAATTCTGTGTAAAATTTTATGAAAATCGAACTACTATATCATATAGCTCCCATAGGAACGATCGAGAAATTAATACAATTAAACAAACGATCGTTTGGTGTAGAGGAAAAATGCAAATCTGTGAATTGCAAATATAATATGTTTAGGTGAATGAAATGAAAACAGGTGTTACTTCATTGTTTTTAATCATAAATATATATAATTTATATTGTAGGGATTCCTACTCATAGAAGTTCAAGGTAAGTACACTAATCATATAATAAAAACTTATTTTATATACAAAAAAACATGAATAATTTTCTTAATACCTTTGAAGTTAGCTAAGTATTAAGATGTCAAATATTAAATATATATCATAACTAAGCCAAAAATGCATTAATTTCAGTTTTTATGAGGGTAACAAATCTGCATACTCAATTTAAAAATTTAAAAAATTCAAATTTTCGTCAATTTTTCACCATTTTAACGATACCCCTTATAAAAATTTAAAATTGTCAAAAAATTTGAAAAAATTAAATTTATGCCGGACCTGGCTAGATCGATGCGGCTGTTAATGCTGATCAAGAATATATATGAATAATAGGATCGGAAATGACTCCTTTACTAAGTTTCAAGCTTTCGACCAAAAGATAGGCTTTGTTTAACTATTTGGTGCATAGAGCGCTCTCCTCTGCGATTCTCAAGTCTTACACTTAAGCAAGGCTCTAGCTAGAGGAAGTTTAGTTTTCTTCTTCTTCTTTTATATAAATTACTAATTTAGTGCTTGGTGGTTGATAGACTTTGATCAAGTGGATGTGGCAACCATGGCTAGATCGAGTCGGATGTTGATGCTGATTAAGAATATATATGAATAATAGGATCGGAAATGACTCCTTCACTAAGTTTCAAGCTTTCGACTGAAAGATAGGCTTTGTTTAACTATTTGGTACACAGAGCGCCTTCCTCTGCGATTCTCAAGTCTTATACTTAAGCAAGGCTCTAGCTAGAGGAAGTTTAGTTTTCTTCTTCTTTTTGTGTGTTTTTTATATAAATTACTAATCTAGTGCTTGGTGGTTGATAGACTTTGATCAAGTGGATGTGGCAATCATAAAAATTATATTTTTCTTAATTAAGGTAAGACGTTAATAAAATATCGCTTGATAATTGAAACCAAAACAAGGCCCAAAAAAGTCAAGATACATGAAAATATGGTTTATATTAAATTATTGTTTAATTACCATACCCTTGGCCGTGTTGAAGAGCTTATTATTTATCTCGAAAAGTCTTCCAAGCTCTCTTTAAGAGCCGTGATGATCATGACGAGCGGGGATATGGTGTCATTTATTTGTTTATAGTAAAGTATACTTAACTCCCAAAAATAGTTTATTCAGCACAACTTACTAAACAAAGAACACAACAATGGTGATGATCGAAACTGCTCAATATAAAATATATATTAAATTAAGTTGATCTATATTTGTAAAGCAAATTTTAAGAATTGGTATGCTTTTAAATAACAGAAAGTTAACATATTTCAAGCAATGCTTGTATATAATTTTTGCAAAAGTAATTCTTCACACAAAAACCCGCTCTTTTTTTATACCCTTGCAGGGTATTATAATTTCAGTCAGAAGTTTGCAACGCAGTGAAGGAGGCACCTCCGACTATATAAAGTATATATATTCTTGATCAGGATCAACAGCCGAGTCTATCTAGGCATGCCCGTCTATCCGTCTGTCCGTCTGTCCGTTTCTACCCAAACTAGTCTCTCAGTTTTAAAGCTATCTGAATGAAACTTTGTAGTTAGCCTTCCATATACTCTCACTCGTATATATGTCGGAACGGACGACTATGTCATATAGCTGCCATTGGAATGACCGGAAAATTTTTACAAAAAAATTATAACATTTTCATTTTTCAACAGATTTTCATCAAGTTTGAGGTATAGCCATTTTATATTAGTCTTAAATTTTGTGTAAAATTTCATGAAAATCAGACAACTGTGCCATACAAACGATCGTTTGATGTAGAGGAAAAATGCAAATCTGTGAACTGCAAATATAAATATGTTTAGGTGAATAAAATGAAAACAGGTGTTACTTCATTGTTTTTAATCATAAATATATATAATTTATATTGTAGGTATTCCAAGTCATAGAAGTTCTATCTGCAAGGGTATATAAACTTCGGTGTGCCGAAGTTAACTTCCTTTCTTGTTGTATTTATTTCACTATTTTGCTGATAATAATATTAAACATATATTTTACCTTTCAACCCTTCCTTGAAATATAAAAAAAAGCCAGTGTTTTGTATTTTTAGAAAATTGTGTACATCTTTATTAATTGTTTAACTACGTTTTTTTTGGTTGAATGTTTTCTCTTGTGTTTTGATGCTTCTTTCCATCTCATTGATATTCCTCACTTGAGTTTTCCTTGCAGCTGGAAAATCTATTGCGAAAATCTATCTAAGACAGACCTTGTCCTAGACATTAACTAATAAAATGCATAAATCTGTTAACAATTTTTGTGTGTGGTTTTGCCTTTTTTTGTGGTGTGCTTACTTACGTAGATTTGCTATGATTAATGCTAATCTGATTGTTATTGTTATTTATGCGATTTATGGCGATATATAGCACTTCGTTATATGCAGGAGTTAAAGCCAAGAACCGAGTAACGGCAACATATAGTTCTGATTTCAACGCACTTGCTCTCTATATATCCCTAAATGTATATATTTATGACTGCTCTCGTGTGTGTGTATAAATTCCATTTTCCGACAATTGCACAACAGTTAAAAGTAAACAATTAATAATAATTCATGGTTAATAATTAATAATTCATAATAGTAATGACGTTAGCTATGGCCGGGCCCAAATACAATTTGCACTATACTTCTTGTGTGTTGATTAACGTGATGTACTTTGTGTGTGTGTGTATGTGTGGGTGAGATATCCCTAGCAGTATGCTGTAATTTCCTAAGTTGTATTTAGTGTTTTATTTAGGTTTTCTGTTTATCTTTTATCTATAATATTTGTAGTTTTTATTTTGTATTTTGAGTCCAGCTACAAAACGTTGCATAAAGTTGTATAAAAGTTTTGGTATTTCCATTGTTTCCATTTGACTAGCGAGTAAATACAAAACCCAATCGATCCGTTTATATCCATATATATCCGATATATAAATAACACTATATATAGTACTGTTAGAAACGGCTGCTATAAAATCACTGCCACAGTTTGGCCAGCACATGTCCCCATAAGACTAACGTAATCATCATTAACTCTAGGTATAAGTAATTCATAAGCGCTAATATTCGTTTAATGCAACAAGTCTATGTGGGATCCCCAACTCTGACTCCGTCCTCGTCCTGGTCATCCTCCTCGTCCTCGTCCTCATCCCCATCCCCATCCTCCTCGTCGTCGTCCTCCTCCTCCTCCTCCTCCTCCTCGTCGGACTGCTCGGATCAGTCGAATATGCAGACGAAGATGCGCAGGCAGTTCATGCCCACCCGCTCCCAGCATCCCTCCTCCGTGGGTCGTCCCTCGTGGGCCAGTCGCATCTTCTTGGGGTAGTTCTTCGGGCTGCTCCGGTCGCTCAGGTGCACGGGCATCCGGGCGTACTCTGCCCGCGGCTGGCGGAACTTCTCCAGCAGTTCCGCCTGCTGATCGGTGAGGTTCTTAAGCTTTTTGCCTGTAATGGAAAATGGGAGAAATAATATTACTATATTTAAAAGACTACAATAAAATAATAAAAAGAAACTAATTAGGAAGGGAATATAATAAGAATATTATGTAATAGTAAGCAACATAAAACAGGTTTGATCTAATATCAACAATTTAATCCTTCACTGTATTACTTCACTATATACTTCAAATTATATTTTCCTTACATACATCAGCTGTGGTAACTTTTCCTGATAATCGTAATCGTATATATATTATTTACTGATTACATGTGCACTCAAAGCTATATTAATGCACTTATCGCTCCCAGGCGCCATGTCTTAAAGGCTTTATGGACACTACAAATTAAGACAACTTAAGAAATAACAGCTACTTTTCTTGTTAAAATAATAATATATATAAGTTGTTCAGAAGTTACATTCATTAAAAACAGGAATACTTTCTTCAGGAAACCGAATGTTATGCCATTTGCAATTTAAATCCATCATAACTAAGCTTATTCGTTATTTATTGATATTTTTCGACCAAAGCAACAATTTTAAAAAACTCATAGCTAAGCCAAAAATACATTAATTTTTATTCGGCAAGCTTTCCTATCTTAGTTTTTATTAGGTTAAAAAATCTACATACTCAATATATAGATTTGAGATATTCATATTTTCTTCAATTTTTGACAATTTAAAACGATGTAACCCCTTAAAAAAATTTTGAAGAAATCGAAAAAAATTTGTTTCCTTCGAAAATGGCTAGAAAGATTCGCTACTTGATGCTGATCAATAATATATATGATTTATAGGGTCGGAAATGACTCCTTCATCGAGTTTCAAGCTTCTGACTGAAAGTATAATACCCTGCAAAGGTATAAAAATAGGTCGATCTTTATATAACGATTTTTCGATAACCCACAGATTAAAAAACTCATAACTAAGGCAAAAAAGCATTAATTTCAATTCGGAAAGCTGTTCTGTGCTAGTTTTTTATAGGTTAATAAATCTGTATACCTAAATTAAATTTTTAAGATATTACAATTTTTGTCAAATTTTCAGAATGTCAAATATGTAAAAACCTGTTAAAAAATATTGAAAAAATTTTCAAAAATTTGTTTCCTTCTTAGATGCCTAGAAAGATTCGCCTGTTGATGCTGATCAAGAATATATATGATTTATAGGGTCGGAAATGACTCCTTCACTGCGTTTTATGCTTCTGACTAAAATTGTAATTGTCGATATTTACCAATATTTGTATATAAAAATTTGTCCTAAAAATCAAATCTTAAAAATCTCATACTTGAGCCAAAAAGGCATTAATTTAAATTTGGACAGCGGTTCTGTGATGGTTTTTAATAGATTAATAAAACTGCATACTAAATATACAGATTTATAGAAATCCAAATTTTGCCAATTTTTGACAATTTGAAAAAATCTAAAAAAATTTATTTCTTTGGAAGATGGCTAGAAATATGCGCCTGTTGATGCTGATCAAGAATATATATAGTTTATAGGGCGGGAAATGACTCCTTCTTGCGTAACAAGCTTTTGCATTTTATAAAAAGAGCCTGCGATAATAGCTTAACCTTTGATTACGTATACGACCCGTTGGTCTCCTAATCAGCAATTTTGTAGAAAAAAAGCGAAAAAGCCAAAAAAAAATATATAATAAATTCTGATAATTCATACTATTAAACAATGGAGAAGTTGAGAAGTTCCCTTAGGCTTCTCGAGTGATTCTTTCTGTATCTAACTCTAAGACATCATACTGTCAGGTCTCCACAAATTACATCCTGCTGAGCCGCTAAGGCTTATTTCATGACTACGTCTAAGAGTAACTAGGAGTATTTCAATTAATTAACTTACCCTCGAGGGCGTCGCTAATGAGCTTGATCTCCGTGGGGGGCAGCAGCTCGATGCGGGAGCAGCAATTGCGAAACTCCTCGGCGGTCATCCTCAGATACCTCGGCGTGAGGCAGAGCGGACCGAGAACCGTGCGCCGGTTCTCCGGCGTGGCATCGATATTCTTCCGGCTGCACTCGGCCAAACTCCACGTGGCCAGGCACTCGAAGAGCGTGACCTCCGACCGCAGCTGCAGAGTGTCCCGCTTGACCAGCGTCTCCAGCTCCTCGAAGCGCAGCTCACTCATCTCGGGCATGGAGAGATGGAGCTCGGCGTGCATATCGATGAGCTGGAGGGTGTTGTGGAGCAGGGCCACGCCGTAGTCCTCGGTGGTAAAGGGATTGGGATTCGGAATGAGGTTCACCTGCGCCCCGTCGCCGGCATCAGCGGCATTCTCGGAGGCCGCCGCCTGGGCTGCCTTGGCCTTGGCCGCCGCCTTCGCCTTGGAGGCCTGCTTCCGGGCCAGCTGCTGGCCCGTCTCCTGTGTGGTGATCACCGTTTGGTGCTGATTGGTCAGGGCAATGCCCTGGTAGAACCACAGAGCCTTGAAGATGTCCAGGGCGGTGGCACTGGAGATTCTGAGATCAAGTTCGCGAATGCAGTAGATTATCTGAAATAAGAGTTGAGATTGGGGAAGAGATTAATAGGATGGGATATAAAAACCGCATTATTTGATCAAAGATTTAGAGAAACCGACTTCAAAGAGCTCCTGACTAAGTTCCCCACTTCGATACAATTATTTTTTAATAATCTTCACTCTTATGATGTGTTGACAACTATAACTATCTCGACTGACACTCACCAGATCGGGCACGTTGAAGCGATCGGAGAGCTCGAGGATCTTGAGGAGGTGCTTGTGGTCGCGATAGGGAATGAAGTGCTTCTCCATGTAGCGGACAATCAGCTCAAAGTCATTCTTGTCCACGTTGAGGATCTGAAAGTGGTTGTCGCTCTTCCTGCCGCTATTGGGACCGGCATGTATCAGCTTGGCCAGCTCCACGCTCCTCTCCAGCACCGACTTCCTCTCGCAGCGGATCATGTACCGATCATCCCCATTAACCACAATGAAGTCGATGTAGGGATTCACGATGATGGGCACCCCGGTGTATATGGTGGTCTGGCCTCGGGAATATGGTGGCGGCATCATGTGTGCCGGCGGGGCACTGGGCGCCGGTGCACTCTGGATGGCATCCACGTGGTGGCCATCGGGGCCGAGTCCAAATGGCAGCACCATCCTGTCCAGCTCTCTCTCCTCGTTGTTGTTGTTGTTGTTGCAGTAGCTGGAGCTGGAGCTGGGTTGCTCTTGCAAGGGATCTGGCGGCGAGTCCTTCTCCCTCTCCCTACGCCGCAGTGCCTTATGGACGAGAGCACCCACCAGGGGGAACTTGGTGACGCGCTTCTCCTTGGTCAGCTGCTCCTCCAAACGGGCGTCAAGGCGTCGCTGGCGGTACTTGTTGCCGGGCCGTGGCTCTGGGCTATTGCTATCCTGGAAGGCAGTGATTTTGTTGGGGAACTGCAAGGAAATGAAAGGGGGTTACATAATTTTAAAATATATTAAAAAGGTTTTATAATTTAAATTAGGGTGAGAAAATAGATTGTTTTCCTTTTTTTTGATAATTAAAACCCTTTAAATAACCGCAATACTGACCTTATTTAACTATTTAATATTTCCTATTACGAATTTTATATAAATTTGTAAGAGTCTTACGAATTTAGATTTTGATTTTCTCTTTACTAAGAGTTTCTTGTAGTAAACTGAAAGCTACGACAAGGCTCTCCATTGAACACTGAGTGAATGATTGAATAGCTTGACGAATTGGTTTGTTCATTTTATACCCAACACCTTCCCTCCTTAGGTTTCCCGAGGGAAATACATTTTTTATCTCAAATATTATGTGGATAATTATTTACGACCCTCGACAGTGACCAGAGTTAGTCATAGCCAGAGGCCAATTTCGCCACGCTTGGAAATCTATAGGTGTTATATTAACAGACGTTGTAAGTACTTTCCCCGCCCTAATGATCGATTCATTGCCGCTTATCAGTCAATGGGCACACTTCAGAACATAAATCGTTTAGTGTGTGCTAAACAGGCTTTAATCGCTGATTTTCCGTACTCGACAATAAATTAGCCAGTACTTTGCTATCGCCGAATGCCAACTAATTAGCCCGGTCAGGGGCTCGCATCGGGTCAGTTAGCATATGTTGTCCCAATCGGTTGATTGCCACCAACTACAGCCTGCAATCCATCATCGTTGGCTATAAATCATGTCCCGTATCGAAAATGGGTGCACTGCTTCTACGACTACCATTTTCCAACACCCGAATTTTTGCGCGTGATGTATACAATTCCAATAGCAAAAATATATATATATAGTATCAGAAAATGATAGGAGAAGTCCCTCCTTAGTGGAGTCTCTTTTTGGCGAGTAAATTCTAAGGGGGGACAGCTCATAAGTCACATAAGCGCTACTTCATCACAGGTGACAAGTGGGTGTGTGTACTTTATCGATTCCGTAAATAAATTCAATTTATTTTAATTTAGTTAAGTCATAATAAGCAATTGATTGATGCCCTAAATCATGAATATTAAATAGAGCTATTTGTGTTTTTAAATGCAGTGTATTTGAGTATTAGATTTAAGCCTTAAAATTGAGCATTTAACTGATATCTGAGACCTTGAAAGAATATTTGCTAAATTAGTCTACCAAGTTTAAATAGCAAATAACATATTTGCACATATGTTTTGTGACAATAAACATTGTTTTAATGAACTTCTATTAGGGGAACACTTTCAGGTCACGAGACTTGAAAGCTTTCCTATATTCGATCACGGGATTTATGAATGTAGGAAGCAGTTAGGGGAGTGCTTATGATAAGATTATCACTTCGATATGCCATTATTATGACCAATATTAGATAAGAAGGTTGTCATCATCAGAAGGTAAAAAGTTTCCTTACAACAAATATAAATTATAGCTCTCAGGGAAAGATAATTCATTGAGGAATTAAAAAAGGGGGAAAATGAGATAGTAGAGGTTTATGTATCTTTATTTAATATAATTATATTGTATAGAATATGCTGCTGAAAAGCTAAAGAAAAATATAAAAACAGAGATATATAGCTTAGCCTTTTCCCTACCATATATTTTCCTTTCCCCCCTAGATAAACACTTATATCTCGAGAATTTCTAAGGAAAACTCTGTGAACCAAGACCTTTGTTCTCGTTCGGCAGAGTTTGATTTATAGTTCCTGTTCTTGTTATTGCCTTAAGTACAATGCAAACAAAATTAATTGTGGCACAGAAAGATTGCGAACGAATTCGCGGCGGTGCCACAGCAGGGCAGAGAAAAAAAGAGGAAAATATTAATAAATAAAAATATAAATTGTAGGGCAATTATTTGAACAGTTGTAAGGAAGAAGACGGCATGGAGCTTGAAGTGTTGACGACTCTTCCTGCGCTATGTATTTAAATATTTACCCAACAAACCCCAGAGCAGGCGAATGATGTGTGATAGTGTGTGATAGTGCAATAAATAAATTATCGTATGCAAATAAATTTATGGCTGTTCCACCGATCGACATGGAACCGGCGTGTTATCTGCACAGCAACCACAATGGGAAGATGGGTTTTATGTACAGCACAGGCTTCAAATTAGCACTTGGAGCCAGAGTCTGGGTCTATGACGGAGTCAGGGGAGTCATGAGCTGATTTCCTTTTGTTTATCGTGCTCTATATAAAATATTGTGGAGCTTGGGCGTGGGTGGTGTTTATTTCCATGGGTATCTCATATAGAAACCCTTAAAAACAGACCTTGTTCTTGAACTTTACAGCGGCAGTGTCCCTATCGCAAATTGTTAAATTATCAAATTATATCATTGACTCCATGCACTTCTTACACTTTATTTGTGGCTTCCGCTTATCGGCCCATGGCCTGCGTTCCCTCAATCAATCAATCAAAGGCGATTAAATGGGAATTATTTTCTGGTTTGGCAGTGTCACCGAAGGAGTCTTCGCTTTGAGTTTTGATTTACATTCGTCGAGGGAATCGTTGTAATAGTTTTATTATTATTTCCTATGCTTGTAAATCACACTAATTGGCTGTGGTTTCTGTAGTTTTAGCACAATGCCGAACCGCACTCCACGAGTTTGAAATATCGACTGCTTTTCAGTGTTTCAGTTTTCATTCTGCCAACGGCGACGCCGGCTGAGGCAGAGGCAGAGGCCGACGCAGAAGCTCAGGCATCGACGCTTCGTCTCGAATGTGTCATGATCGCCAAGAAAACGCAGTGGAAAGTGCTCCAAGACTGGACAATTATAATTATATTGAAGCCTAAAAATATTATTTTAAAATATATTATAATATTTACTTGGTTTTGTAGTCGAATGTGTCATGATCGCACAGAAAATGCAGTGGAAAATTCTCCAAGACAGGCCAATTATAATAATATTGAAGCAAAATAATATTATTTTAATATATATTATAATATTTTCTAGGTTTTGTAAAATTTTAATAAAACAAGTTGACTTAACCCAAAATTTAATTTGAAATATGACCATTATTATAGAAAAATCGTCATATAAAGATTGACCAATATTTATATCTTTGCAGGGTATTATACTTTCAGTCAGAAGCTTATTTCGCAATGAAGGAACTATTTCCGACCCTATAAATCATATATATTCTTGATCAGCATCAACAGGCGAATCTTTCTAGGCATCTAAGAAGGAAACAAATTTTTGTTCATTTTTTCAAAAAATTTTAACATGTTTTTACATATTTGACATTCTGAAAAATTGACAAAAATTGTATTATCTTAAAAACTTAATTTAGGTATGCAGATTTATTAACCTATTATCCGAATCGAAATTAATGCTTATTTGGCTTAGTTATGATTGTTTTAAGCTGTGGGTTATAGAAAAATCGTCATATAAATATCGACCTATAGAATGCGAATATTTATCCCCTTTCAGGGTGTTGTACTCTTTGACCTCGAAACGCAAGGAAGGAGTCATATCATACCCCATAAATCCTATATATTCTTGATCAGCATCAGAAAAAAAATGTAGTGAATTTTTTCAAAATTTTACATTATTAAAATTGTCAACAAAATATGGAAAATTTAATTTTTTCCATTTTAAATTGATTATAGAGAATAATGAGGCTAATAAAAACTAGTATCAGACATATTTCCGATTTAATATTAATGCCTTTATTGCTTTGTTATGGGTTTTTAAACTTTAATTTGAAGAAAAAAATTGATGCTTTGAATGCAAATAATAAGTAATGAATTTATCAATTAAAGTATAAAATATGAAATAAACTTTTGTTTTATAAGCCAGAAATAAACTTAGCTCTGTTCTAAAAAAATTCATTCAATAAAAAATAATATTTAACCAATTAAAGTTTTAAAAACAACCCTGAAAGTTAAGTCACCCGCATTTCCAGATACTTTAGAGTTGCAAAAACTTGAAATCAAGAAAAAAGCTACCCAAAGAAATGCAGGCTGAACGGAAATGAGCTCTAGACTCACTCCCTCCTCAAGACTCCCTCCAAGATTCCCTCCTAAAAATTAAACCATTCGCGACTCGAATTATCAACTCAATTCGATGGACAAATAAATGAATTTGTGTGCCGAAAAGAGGCGAGTGACAGAGTTAAAGGGAGCATCATCGTCACTTGGAGGAAGATTTTGCTGTTGGATGAAGCAATTAACGCTGCTTTTTTCATTATTTGGGAGATAAATAGGTGGGGGAGTGTTTGTGTGGGTGGGTGGGTGTTTTTGAGAGTGGGTGTGGCGTTATATTTGACAACTGTAATTGTCACAGGCGCTTTGTGTGCCCACGAAATTCGACTTATTGATAAGCAATGCAAATACACCAAGAGCCAAGCAAAAGAGCGAGCTGAATAAAAAGTATGAAATTCGAATGAGAGTATGGAGAGTGTGTGTGGAGAGTGTGTGTGGAGTGTGCGATGCATAGAGTGTGTACAGAGTATAGTTTGTGTGTAAGAATAGCAACAAAGAGCCTTACACGGGCTCAAGAGAACACAGCAGTTATTATCAGTGGCCAAGGCCAGGACAAAGCTGCAAAGCTGCTCGGTTGCTTGAGTGTGTGGCTCTTGGTTTGTTGTGTGCACAAGTACTTATGCAGCCCACCGAGGGCTGACACAGAAGTTGTCAGAGTACGTGTCAGTACTCGTATCCAGATTAGATAGCAAATATCAGATATATATATATATATTTATCGAATTTTTAATGCCTGCATAAGCTGATTTGTGAACTTTATAAAGGCCATAAATAGCAGTGTAGTGAGTGATTTGGATATCTATTATAAATGGTAATTAATGTTTTATGATGGATTCTACACCAAAATTATAATTTTCCTGCTCTTAAACGAACTCAAAAGAATATATATAAAAGGAGCCACTATATGCAGAGTAATCTTCAACCCAATGCCAATTAAAATTACCTTGAAACTCTTTGAACTCCCCTCGCGGCATGGGCCACACTATCATATGTTGTGATGATGTTTTTTTCTGCTGCTACTGGAGCGGCAGCGTTGACTGCTAATGAGTCCGCCGCCGGTTGACACATGTAAAGCGGAAGCCAGGCCGAGATCAGCGATGAGAAAAAGCATGAGACTGGAGACTGGAGACCGGAGACCGGAGAGCTGAACAACAGCTAAAACTGTCAGCAGTTAGCACTGGAACTCCGCGAACGACCTTGACACTGGCCTGGCCCGAACAGGAGGCCCCACTGTAGCCGCCGCATTTCCCCCAACATGATCACATGCGGAGATAATCGCTGGAACCCGTTTACGATCGCAGCGGCGATTCAAATGATTCAAATATTTGCATTCATAAGGGAAAATTTAATTAGCAGCCTCAACGCCAAAAACAAAGTGGAGCAGAATCGATATTTACCCAATGGGAGGCGGTAAAAGTGTTTAATTGGTTGGATTTAGCATAATTACTCACATTGTTGGCTGCCGGTAAACAGCTTCGGCCCAAAATGTGCGTAGTTCAAAGCAAATAAATAAAATACGAAACGAGACTGCAAATAAACAAGGTCCCAAAGAATTCAATGGAAGAACCCAAAACAAAAAACTCATCCCATTTCCTATACGCTTCCTGATCCGGAGCCAAACTCCACCTGCAATTGCGATTGCGGCACTTTTTTTGTTCAAAAATAAAACACTTGCCACATTCCAAAGGCGTGGCAGCCACAAAGCCAAAAGTTCACAGTCCGAGCAATGGCTCCTCTATATTTATACGCTCCTAATGAGGTGGTTTATTAAAATTAGACCTCAAGCACTGGGAGCTATTTAGAGTGAGAGTACTATGGGATTATGAAACCATTATAGGAATAAGGGAATATACTTTAAAATGGGATTTAAGGAAGACTAAGAGAAGGTGGATCTAGCACATTTTAAGACCTAGATCATTTACATATATATTTAATAATAATATATATGGCACATATAAATACCACCTATACCATTTAATAAACAAATATATCATTGGAATATCAAACTAATCTCAGTTTTAGGAATAGTAACATAGAAATGTATAATGTATTTATATACTGTGCTGTTTTATTGCAAAATTAATTCAAAATTTAAGGCTCTACTGCCTTTGAAATATTTTGAATTCAAGTACAAGTTAAAGAGCATATATTTATATCAATTATTTATCTTAAAATGCTATAAAATATATGAATATAACAACATATACAAATTTACAAAGAAGTTAAGGGAAAGAATTAATATTCTCATGCCTAGTTCATGGTAACATCAAACACTTTAAATTGTTAAACAAATAGGAAATTAAATAAAAGCAATCCTTTCACCTACAAGTGATGAGCAATTTTCAACTGTTGATAAATTTGTAATGCTTTTCCTTTACAAACTCATACAATATTCTTGGCAAAATCAACAAATAAATTATCTCAATATCTTCCTTTGTTAATTATGAGCAATTTTAGACTGTAACAAATGCGATTTGTGGAGCTTGAACTCCCAACCAGAAGCCGCCTAACTGCAATAGTTGCGGATGCGTAATTCAATTTGGCACAGACCGGCGGCATTGTGGCACCTCCAAGCCCACTTGGACTCCCACTGAGTCATCCTTCCGTAGGTGCCCCCTCCTCCCCTGGCTTGTGGGTGTACATACACTTCAACCGTATCAACGGTGTGTGTTATAGACACAGTACAAGTACCAGCCAGGACAGCCGTGGAGAATGACATCATTGGGTTCGATTGCTGGCCACGGTGAGACGAAAACAACACGGAATGGAATTTGTTATTTCGACTTGGCCCCGGGAGAACTGCATTACTCATCCATCATCCCCTGCAAAGATCCAGGGACTGTAAAATCTGACAATTTGTCGGTGGCTCTTTTGGCCAGAGGCCAAGTGTACCATCGGTCAGGGAAGCAGTAAGTGCATGGGAGGCTGATTGACGTTGGATCATCGTTGAAGCATCAAAACAAATACACAGGGAACTGTATATGTAGATGGTTATCAAAAGCAAATATTTGTTTAACTTTATCGTGATATTTATGAAAACAAGTCTAATGGGGAAAAACATATATTTGTCTTGGAAACTCTCATAGGGTTCATGGCCGAAAATAATTTGGCTAATTTCCAGCTTTAGCCTAGAATTCGAGGAAATTCATTCATAGAATATATTTTATGTTATATATATTAAATTTTAGATAATGCATAAAATAATAATAAGCATTAATATATAATATAATACAATATATATTAATTCTGAGGCCTGCCACATTTGCAAATTCTCTCTCGATTTCTAAAGATATAAAAACATATTTCACTGAATAATTACAGGAAATATATTCTTATTTTATATTAGATATTAGCGGATAAGAGCAGTAAGAGTAATCCAAAAACTAATCCTCTATAAACATCTTTTTGGAACATCTTTGGGAATCTTTGGAAGGAACTTTAAGAGTCAATTCAAAAATCTAGAAAAAATTCTTCGATAGCCTTTCATCGAACAAAAGGTGACAAATTTAATTTCCAACTCGGTTTTCCCATTTTCGCAGCAGCAGCAGAACTTGAAGCGAACAAAAGCATCGCCGCCACCCGAAATGCAAACAAAACACGAAAACGAAACGGAAAAGGCGAAAAACTCACCCTCCTGGGCACGTAGGAAAAGTGGTGGGAAAAAGGGAAAACCCTACGCAACATGTTCCATGTTCGGCGGGGAAAACAACCAGGGGGAGTGGGATGTGTGGGGGGGGGCGATTGAATGAAACTGGAGCAGCAGAAGAAGCAGCAGCACCAAACGAAGGGCAAACAGAGAAAGGCAAGCAAATTTGCAATTGCAGACAAAGGAAAGAAAACGTTTTCGGGGATGGGTCATAGACATAGGCCAGGCCAATAGCCAATATCAAGAGCGCGACGCTGAAATGGCTGGAAGGGATTAAGATCGGGGTCGGGCTTGGGGCTCGGGATCGGGGCAACCAGTTGGTGCCAAGGGCGAAGCCTCCGAGGGAATGGACTTGGCTGTGGGCGCTCGCTTGTAACAATGGACAATGCGGCGTATGCGCGATGGATGCCCAGCTGATGATGATACAATGGAACACTGACACAGTGAACGAGTTTTCCACACACACACAGGGACACACTCTCGTAATTGCACCCGCACACTGAGACACACTCGGAAAAACTTTCCTTTGAACAGGCTTTCGGCCCTGTCTGTGTGTGTATATTTCATGGATACACAATTTATGTTGGCCAATTTCTCGCCTCTGTTTGTATACAGAATTTCTTTGATTAATTACACACTACACACACACGAGACTTACCCTAGTTTATGGCATTAATTTCTGGAATTGCCGAACTTCCAAATCGTTTATTTTTTGCTTAAATATTTAAATGAACTTTGATGCTGCAAGATTTCTGTTTGCTGTATGTTTCGTTTAACTCGAATTTGTTTATGCCAAATTGTGCGCTCTCCTCGACATGAAGATATATAGACAAAATGGGATATATGGTTGGTTATCGCGTGAGATCCGATCCGAGAGTTTTGCGCGCCTCGTGCCAAACGGAATTGGGGAAGGCAGCCAACGACAACGACAACGTCTCCGCTCGAGAGCCGAAAAGCGTATATACAACAAAATATTTCGGAGCGGAGAGCACGGTGGCAAGTGAAAAGCCAAAAAACAACACACACAAACGAGACAGCAGGAAAACATACCAAATTTCCCGGGCTGGCGTTGCCACTGAACAGGTCCATGTCCAAGCTCTAGAGAGCTTTGAATCCCTTTCTTTTTGTCTCCAGTTTTCCCTCGTACTTTTATTCAGAATTTAATCGTGAAAACTTTGTACCGAAGCTATGAAATTGGTAGCAATTATTTTGTGAAATTTACATCTACGAGAGTTGAGTGGAAAACACCAGCTGTCTGGCAACTTTTCACCGCTCCGAAGGGGGGAAAATTCTCAGCAGATAGCTTTTCCTCCTCGCCCGACATGCGCAGTGGTTGTGGGAGAACGACCCACAGGTCGTATGAGTGCACAGGCAGACGCAACATTTTCGAGCGTGTGATAACACACATCCGAGGCGCCCTCGTCCGGACTTTCCCTTTCCGGAGACCTCCGACTTTCCTCCGACTCCCGACTCCCGACTCCCGAGGGCGATGGCAGCGAGAGTGCGTGGGCCATTTAGGGAGGCCCGATTCCGTGTCGAATTCGGATTCGGGTTCGGGCCCTAGACAACGGAGCGCTGCATTGAGGGAGGTAGGAAATTTATGGCTGTTATCACCACTTCTTGGCCAGGGCCAGCAGGGCAGCGAGAGGCGGCCACAAATATCGGGCAATGCGAACTGCCGGAAACTAGGTCAAATCCCAACTAGCTGAACGTTCGGAATTTGGTGGAGTGTGTTTATTTCGTTTATTTTTTTTGGTGGGGAAATATCATGAAGGGAAAGGGGAAGAAATTCTAATTGCTTTCACACTTCAATTGTCGATGGGTTATCTGATATTTAGGGAAATTTTGCTGTAACACTATTAAACTAATAGTTTAGATATAAGAGCGGAATAGAAATGAATGAGTTTATTAATGATTTGGCTCACACTCATGTATAAAATATTCGCATTCTTTTAATCGATATGTTTACATGACAAAGATTAAAAAATTTGTAGCCATTAAAGCATTAACTTCGATTCGGAAAGCTGTTCCGTGCTAGTTTTTGTTAGGTTAATAAATCTGCATACTCAAATATCATTTTTAAAATATTACAATTTTTGTTAATTTTTCAAAATATCGAAAAGGCAAAAAAAATGTTACAAAATTTTGCAAAAAAATTATCAAATTTATTTTTCTTTGCTAGACGCCTAAATAGATTCACCTGTTGATGCTGATAAAGAATATATATGGTTTATAGGGTCAGAAATGACTCCTTCTCTACGTTTTATGCTTCTGACTAACATTATAATACCCTGCAAGGGTATAAATAATCGCATTCTTTAGGTATAATGATTTTTCTATAACCCACAACTTAAAAAACTCATAACTAAGCCAAAAATGCATTAATTTCGATTCGGAAAGCTGTTCTGTGCTAGTTTTCAATAGGTTAATAAATCTGCATACCTAAATTAAATTTTTAAAATATTAGTTTTTGCGAATTTTTCAAATGTCAACTTTGTAAAAATCTGTTATAAAATTTTGAAAAAAATTATCAAAAAATTTGTTTTCCCTAGATGCCTAGAAAGATTCCTGTGTTTATGCTGATCAATAATATATATGGTTTATAGGGTCGGAAATGACTCTTTCCCTGTGTTTCAAGCTTCTGACTACAATTATAATACCATTCTTTGAGTCGATATATATCAATAATTTTATATGGAAATTAAAAAAAAATCAAAATCTCATAACTAAGCCAAAAAAGCATTAATTTTAATTCGAAAAGCTTTCCTTTGTTAGTTTTTATGAGGTTAATAAATCTGCGTACTCAATTTAAAATATAAAAACTTAATTTTTTGCTAATTTATGACAAATTTAACTATGTTAACCCCTTAGAAATGTTGAAAAAAATATAAACAAAATTATTTCCCCCGAAGATGGCTATTGATGCTGATCAAGAATATATAATATATGACTTATGGTGTCGGAAATGACTCCTCCACAGCCTGACACGTTTCTGACTATGATTATAATACCCTACAAGCACATCACATTTACACTAAAATCTACAAGCTTCCATACTATAAAATCTGAGATTTCTTTATGAAAAAGATAAGTCTAAAATTTTTTATTGATTTTTAAGTGACGTTCTTTCCATTTAGAATTTTATCTTCATGATACATCGTTGCGTGTAGCGCAGGTTCCGAGTGTGTGATTGTGGTAAGGGTCTCGTTGACTTGTCTTGTCTAGGGGATGATACGGCAAATTTGTTTACGCCTTGGGTTTCCGGCTGGCCACAAACCGTACGTGGTGCGGCTGGTCGCAGTCGAACTCCCAGAGAGGTAAATAACAACAGCAGGATGAGAATATGTCCATGTCATAGCTTCTTAACTTCCTAACTTCCGATCGGCGCGCTGGTCTGCTCCGAACCGTTCAGCCGCTTGATGGCTATCTTGGCCACGCCCTTGGTGCACTCCGCGGAGCCGCCCATGAGGACGAGGAAGAGGCCGTTGTGGGCCACCGTGTTCCACAGCCGATCGATGATCCTGTCCAGTTTGGCTGCATTCCGCTCGGCGTTATCCAGCACAAAGTCCTGCTCGGGCACCCGCAGATTCGCAATGGTGAGGGCGTTCTCCAGGGCGATCTCGTTGACCTTGCGCACCGCCTCCTTGGGCGTGGCGACCTCGTGAACTCGCACTGCTTTGCTGTGATCCTTGGGCGATGCCTCGTCCGCTTGCTGGATGACCTCCTTGAGCCGTGGCTCCAGATCCCCCACCGTCACGATGGCCGTCCTCTTGTCCCGCTTGGCCACGTGGGCGAAGAGGTTATTGCTGATGGTGTCGCCGCTGGAGGCGTTGGCCAGCTCCTGCAGGCGCTTTTGCTGCGTGAGGATCTCGTCGCCAAACTCGATGCTATTGGCCAGCTTCATCTTGACTAGCTTTAGCGTAGCGCGTGAGTCCTCAATGGAGTCGTGACCCTCCTTGTTGTCCTGGATCGTCTCCTGAAGGAAGGTCTGGGCCAGGTGCTTCAGCTTGCTCTTGCGCCGCCGCACGCCCGAGATGTTGAAGCACACGCTGGTGTCGATCACATACGGGTGCATCATCCGCATGGCGTTCAGATCCGAGTTCAGGGACTGGCCCACCAGAATGGCATCCGGGGGCAGCAGCGCTGACACCTCAGTCTGCACTTGGTCCAGCCGCTTCGTCACCTTCTTCATGATGTCCTCCGTGATGCCAGAGTATTGCGTGAGGTAGTCCGAGATGCGGTTGTCGGGCATCACCAGTGTCTCGTACACCGTCTTGTACTGTTCGTCCACAATGGAGATACGGGTCAGTTCATTGAGTCCCGCCACCGTCCTGCACATCTCGCAGTCCACGCCGAACATGGGACTCCGATTGGTCACCGGCTCATACGACTTCTTGGTGAACTTGAAGTTGCGGAAGCGACTGTGCAGCTCCCCGGACAGGGGAATCGGGTAGCCCTCGTCGACCATCTGCAGGGCGGAGAGTAGGAGCTTCGTGCGCGGAAACTTGTCGTCCGGATGGAGGTCACCGATAGAGTGCTTTTGATTGCCATTCCCGATGGGAAAGATGGTTTTTACGAATAGCGTGGGATCCTTGTTCATCTCCAGGGCGGATTCCAGGGAGCCGTGCTCGTCGATAAGGCGCTTGGCTTGGATATTGGTGAGGGGAATCTTGAAGAGAAATCAGAGATTGGATTAGGGTTCGATAAAAGGGTTGTAGCTAAGCTTACCTGGGCAATCTCGTCGATGATCTGACCCTCGTCCTGCGGCGGAAGAAGCATCTCCAGCTTGGTGTTGAATATCCGATTGGTGGCCTCGAACTGGGTCTCGTTCGACAGGTAGTGGTACAGGGACAGGCCCTCCAGTATGACCACCACGCTGTGCGACAGACTGAGCCACTTCTCGACGCTGCACCACCGATCCGGCCGGCAGGGGCTCTTCTGGCCAATGAGCGCCGACATCAGCAGGTGCTGGATGTCGGTGAGGAAGATGGGCGTGCGCGCATGCTGGGGCGTCTCCAGGGAGGCGCGCTGTCCCATCTCCCTCAGCCGCAGGCCCGGAACGTCCTCCAGCTGCCGCTTGCGACGACGCAGTTCCACGGCCAGTGATTTGTACTGCTCCTGGCTGAGGATACTGATCTCCTCAGCCGGTCGACTGTCGCCGCCGGCCTCCATATCCTCGCGACTTCGCTTGGTCGTCGGCTCGTCGGGGTCTTCACTCTTGTTGGCCGGCCCCTCCTTCGCCGGACTGTTCCGGATTGTGTGGCGGTTCCGGTGCTTCCGCTTGCTGGGAACAGTGACAAAGCCGTCGTCGTCGGCGTTGTTGGTGCTTTGCTCCGTTGGCCCTGTCTTGGCCTCGTCCTTATTTGCTTCAGCGGCGTCACGTTTCCTGGCCATCTCCGCCTCGTGCAAGCGGTCGCGGTCATTCAGCTCCATTAAATTGGCCAGCGCTGCCAGCTTCTTCTTCTTCTTCTCGTTGCGCTCGTGCTGCTTGGCAGACAGCTGTTCCTTCATCTTCGTACGCCTTCCGTGCAAGCTGCAGGCGAGAAAATGTACCAAAAACCAGGTGAATTCGTTCAAATGGCAGGTAAACAAAATAAAACAAAAACGTGGTGTGGTCTGGAGGTGTGAAAACTTCGATACTACTATCGAATTTGATTCGATATCGACCATGACGACATTAGTGATACCAGACTTACGAAAAAGGTAGCAAACTAGGAAAAGGAGTACTGTCATGTTATAAACTGTGAAAAGGTGAATAACTTAGCTAGAAACGATGTCACTTTCGATATATCGATAATTCCTTTTCCCGTGATGATGCTGCCAGACCTGCCCGACAGCGTGGTGTCGAAAGCTGCTAGCTAGGAAGCTCTATTCAATGTATAGTTTTCTCGCTCGAAGCTTAATCTACCTGCAGAGAAAAAGAAATGACAATACTATACAACAACCGTTAGTTTCCCGCGTGCTTTTGTAAATTTTCTTCTCGGCTGAATTGACGCTCCTCCAAGAAAATCTGATTTAATCCATAAAGCGACGTATATTAACTCCTCAAAAATGTATACAGCTGTTAAGCCGCTGTCCAAGTATCTGCAGTTCAAGTCGGTGCACATCTACGATGCCGTTTTCACGCTGCATTCAAAGTGCACGGTGGCCTTGCTACTGGCCTGTACTTTTCTGCTCTCCTCGAAGCAGTACTTTGGCGATCCCATCCAGTGCATGAAGAACGCGGACTTGGACTACTTCCAAGCCTACTGCTGGATCTACGGGGCATACGTGCAGTCCAATATAACGAGGGCGCCGTCGCTCAATGGCGAAATTCAGTGCCACCCGGGTAAGTTGAAGATAAAAAGGTGTCTCTCCGGCTGAAGTTACACACAATATTCCGTGGCTTGTTCCAGATGTGGTGGGTCGCTCGGTGCCGCCGGGAAACCGTCGCTACATTCGCTACTATCAGTGGGTGGTGCTGGTCTTGCTGCTGGAGTCCTTTATCTTCTATTTACCGGCTTTCCTCTGGAAGATTTGGGAGGGCGGTCGGCTGAAGCATTTGTGCGCCGACTTCCATCAGGCGGTGGTGTCCAAGGACAAGAGCAAGGCCCACTTGCGGGTGTTGGTCAACTACTTCACCAGCGACTACAAGGAGACGCATTTTCGCTACTTTGTGAGCTATGTGTTTTGCGAGATCCTCAATGTGCTCATCAGTGTGAGTAACTTTTGCAATTATGGCGAGATTAGGAAACCAATATAGCTCCTCTTGTACTCCCCACAGATTGGCAACATCCTCCTGCTGGACGTGTTTTTCGGCGGCTTTTGGATCCGTTACATGGGTGCCCTTGTAGCCTTATATGACGGCAATTTGGATGAGTGGAATGACATAACCATGCGCGTCTTTCCCAAGTGTGCCAAGTGCGAGGTGCACAAGGTCGGCGACAGCGGCTCCGATAGCATTTACGACAATTTGTGTCTGCTGCCGCTCAACATTCTGAACGAGAAGATCTTTGCCTTCCTGTGGATCTGGTTTATTCTGATGGCTGCCTTGGTGGCCCTCAAGTTCCTGTACCGCCTGGCCACAATTTTCCATGGAGGCATGCGCTTCCAGTTGATGCGGGCCCGGGCTCGCTTCATGCCCAAGCCCCACCTGCAGCTGGCCCTGCAAAACTGCAGCTTTGGCGATTGGTTCGTTCTGATGCGTGTGAGCAACAACATTGGTCCGGAGATATTTCGCAAGCTGCTGGAGGAGCTCTACGAGGCCCAGACCATTACGAAGAAGATACCGCCCGGAGCGGACGAAGTCTGAGAGCTACTCGTCGTATATTTAATCACCAAGTTGTACATGAAGTAAGTCCTTTCGTTCTTTTTTCTATATGACGTCTCACATTGAAGATTAAGATGACAAGAAGACAGCTATTACATTTTTTGATATATCTCGTACTCATATTCACATTATCTTTCAAATTTTCGATATATCTCGAATACATATTCTCATTACTTGTAATCCCTCATCGATATGTACTTATTATCGAACAAATTGTTAACTAAAGGAACCTTAAACTCAAGCTAAGCTAAATATATATAGCACTTTCAGTTGTTCAGCACTACATAATTGATTATTCGTATTATTTCTTTGAAATTTAAAGTAATTTGTTTTGTCCTTAGTTGAAATCATTAAAATTTCTTTGGTTTCAATAGATTTTCTGTATGATTGAGTTCTATAATCTTAACTGCTATCTCTTGTCGTTATACTTAGTATTTACACATCTTTAATGCATTTAATATCTTAAATTCTTAAGAATGTGTACCCTAACACCTTGTTAATTAGCTAAACTTTCTGATTTGGGGGTAATTTATTTAAAAATGAAGATATTTAGCAACATTAATTCCTACTAAAACTTCTTATACTACTAGTAGTACTATTTATATTACTACTACTACTACTACTACTACTAGTAGTACTATTTATACTACTAGTACTACTACTACTACTAGTAGTACCATTTATACTACTAGTACTACTACTACTACTGCTACTACTACTGCTACTACTACTACTGCTACTATTACTACCACTTCTACTACTACTACTACTACTAGCACTACTACTACTACGAATCGTACCTTTGCGACCTGGTAATGCCACGCAGACCAAGTCTAGTCCACATCATATTTAATGTCCGGCCGCCAAATGACAAGAGATCACCTATGGGTTGGGTTAAGCTGGCAATACGGGATTGTACAGTGCATTCCCTTGCAGCCGATCTTCCTGAGATCTAGTCCTAGTCCTAGTCCGTCAAATTGAACTAAAGTTGAAGCTGGAGGATGGGTCCCAGAATTATCTTAGCTTGCGCGTCCAATTTTGATGACTGAATACTGCGGAAGAGCAAGGAAACCCAATTAGGCACTGCCTCGGCCTCCGTTTGTCCGATTGCGTACTCACATTGTGTCTGATGGTAAAATTTTGATACTAGATTATTTTTTGCAATTTCTTGGGGCAATATTCATGTGTTTTTGCTTGCTTTTGTGACCGTTTGTGATTTTTTTGGAGTTTATATTTTGCCGGTGGTTGTCTCGTACAAGAAGCCCGAGCCCCTTTTTTTTCTGAGGACCTTTAAAACTTTGAACTAAAAATGTAAATATTTTGGGCTGCGCTGTACGAAATTTGTATAAAAATGATTTGGGGAAACTGGCGATTGTGTCGACCTACAACTGAGTCTGGGCCTGCTTAGCTTTAGCCTCGACCCCAAGTGACGTGCGGGTGGTTCGTTGCTCCACGACTCGCACATTTCCCCTTCAACTTGCACTTTTTCGACGGTCATTTTGAGCTGACCGCCGCACTTGTCGGACCATTTTTCATTAACCAAAAAACTGTAGAGTTCAAAACGTAGCAGAAAACTGCAGCACTGGCAGCCGGGCAGACCAGGTGGAAGTGTGTCGATCCACAGGTGATCCACTTTCCGGAAGCCTACATAAGCCCGGCGATCGGCCACCGTCGGCTTCAGTTGCCGTTCACCGTCCGGATCGCGCGGAAGTCTGCATCGTCGTCGTGGATATCAAATTCGGTCTTTTCGATTTTTGTTTGAGTGAATTGTGGTAATCCGAGGCTCCTTGTTGGCCCAACGATTTAACAAAGTGCAAAACATATAAATATATATAATAAAACCTCAAAAAAAAGTGTGGAAAAAGCAAGTCTTCAGCAATTTTGGGGCATTTAACAACAAAAATAAAGGAACAACAAATTGCAGTTTAAATTTACAACAGAAAATGTTCCCAGCTTAAGAAAACCTGAGAAAGTGAAGAAAAACTGGAGTAAAATGAATTACAACATGGATGGTATGTGGAGATGTCAAGGATTATATTTAAAACAGATTTCCATAATTAAACATTTAATAACGACTATTATAATTAATGTATTATAAAATCAATTTAATGTGAAGTAAAACGTTCTCTAAACTCCTTTTTTTTATTATTTATAGAAAGTGTTTTCCTAAAATTAAAGGTCTTATATACGTTTCGTATGATTTATAATTACAAATTCAAAACATAGTAAATTTTAAAAATAATTATAAAATTTATTTTAAAATGTATATACTATACAGTAGACAAGAAGTCTAATTACTCTTTCCTACTTTCTCCACCCACGTCTTAACATACATTTATGCAGCTCAATAAATTCCATTGGTTTTTTTCCCCAGTCAGTTCCCATTTAGTTCGAACTTGAATCAGCATTTTTCGAGTATTAAAAAATTATTGCGAAATTGCTGAACAAGCTGACGAAAGTTCTGAACCAAAATAAAGCCACAAAAAGTACAACATTTTTTTAATTAACATACATTTAAAAGTAAAAGTACCTAAATTGAGGGAAACAACATAAAAATGTTGCAATTAATTAAATGTTTAATGAGGAAACTGTTGAAAAAGAATTAAAAGTTTTGTAAAGAAAATATTTCCATTTCTTAGAGCTGGAAGCCACCCGGTTGCTGCGACATCCCCGTCGCTGGTGGAGCAGTGGGTCCAAACGCATTGTCGCCATCTCAGTGCTGGTCATCATCACCCTGCTCTTCTCCCTGATATATCATGGCCTTGTGGTGGAAAGAATGGATCGTGTCCAGCAGATTGCCGCCCTGAACGCCGAGCATCGGCAAATGGCCAACCAGCCCTTCGAGGAAGCGGATTCCCTCATCGTGAGCCCTCAGACACTGCACTTTAAGCTGCTGGACGACGAGATCAACAAGGATGTCAACGACATCAAAAGGAACAGGAAGCGCATGAAGAACCTGCTGGTCAAGTTCCGGTGGCAAAGGAAGCATCGCACGGCCAGAGAGTTGCCCCGACTGGACGTCGACCTCGATCCTGTGGCCATGGAGGCCAATCTGCAGAGTCTCTACTCCAAGCTGAGAAGCAAGCGGGCAAGGGAAGTGCTGAGTCAGCTGGAGAGCGAGTTTGTGCGCTGCAAGAAGCATACGCCCCACGACTGCATGTCCGCCTTTATGCGCATGTACAAGATGGCCAAGGAGGTGGCCGAGAAAATGGAGAAGATGAAGGAGATCATGCGGGAGCAGCAGCCCATGATAGAGTCGGCCAGCGATGAATCTAACGAACACTGGCGAGGGACTTCTGCACCTGGGGATCAAACACAGGATCAGATCGTCACTGAGCCCACGCCAGCAGGCAATGCCACTGAGAAGCCCCAGAGAATGAAGATAAAACCTGCTAGGATCAGTTGGATCATTGATGGACACGATCATGATGGCAGTGATGTTTACACAGACGATGTGACAACCAAGACGACCACCAGCGAACCAGTCACTAGCAGTACTAAGAAAGTACTAAAAGAGGATACAGCCACCAGGGAGATGCCAGTGGAAAGCTCTACAGAGCAGATTAGCTGGATTCTCGATCACTTTGACAAGCCCAAGGAGATAGTTCGCACCACTGAGCGGCCAGGACAGCGCTCCACGCGAGATGTAACCACCACAGGACCGGGTTCCCAGCAAAATTCCACCTCTCTTACGGAAAATGGAACGGAACAGGCGAGCACTATGACTACAGAGGCACCCAGCATATTTACTACAGAAGGACCTCTTCCAACAACCATCTTAGCCACCACAGAGGAAGCTAGCCCGACAGAGGCACAGGAAAAACTCCATATTAAATGGATTATAGATGGCGAGCAGGAAAAAGCTCCTACCAAGACCACAACTACCACCGAAATGCCTGAAACAACTACCGAAGCCCTAATTAACAGCACCACTGCAGGACAGCGGAAGCTGCAGTTCGATTGGATCATAGACGGCGACGAGATAGTGGAGCCGCAGGAAAACGCTACCACCACCACCACCAGTGCCAGCACAGTGACCATCAGCACCACAGAATCCCTCGAGACTAAGCAAAACTCCACTGCGCATACCACCAAACCGCCGCCGGTGAAGATCAGCTGGATTATCGATGGCAACGAAGGCAGTTTCGAACTGACCAGCAGCAGCAGCACGTCTACCGTACAACCCATGGAGGCCACCCCACGGTCCGTGCATCCCCTGGACAATCCCACCAGCATTGAGAACATGCTGGAGAGTTTCGAGCGGCACGAGCAGGATAAGCCCATACTCAAGGTACTAAAGGCGAATGAATCCTCGCAGGAGAAGTACGATGATGTCTCCGAACGCCAGCTGTGGCTGAAGAAGTTCGAGGATCAGGCGAGGCCGAATCAGAAGGAGCTGATGGATACGTTTGGGACGGCCCTGGATGCCGAGGCTATGGACCAAATGGGACCCAAGATCAATCCGCTCAACGGACATGTCTGGAATGGTAACTATACTCATTAAAGTGATGCCTTATATTACATTTTACTTCTTCCCCAGCTGCCGATGCACAGATCCTCAGTCTGTGTGAGCGCGTGGCCCTCAAGATGCGGAATAAGGTGGCACCCAATGTAGGAGACGGTGAGACCAAGGAAAAGGGTGAAACGTTCACCGCCTCCCCCAGCGTGCAGTTCACGAGTCGAGCTCCCGGCGGGTTTCCCGTTTCCGGCGAAACCATGAAAGCCTCGGCCCAGTTTATGTTCAATCCGAACTTTGGCATGATGCCCAGCATCCCCGTGTGCTTCTACATGACGCCGGCCAACTTCCGGATGCCCATGTGGTCAGCCTCGCCCTCGTTTATGGGCATGCAGGGAGGACACTTTGGAGGAGCCGCCAATAACGCCGGCGGCGGCATTTTCTTTGTACCGCAACAATTCGGACCGAGTGGAAACTTCTTTGGCGGCAGTGGTGGCTCCGGAGCCGGTGGCCAGGGTGCCAATATCTTTTCGAAGAATGCCTCGCCGCAGAAACTTTCCAATGGTCAGCAGCAGCAGGTGTACTGCAGCTATATGCAAAACCAGCAGGGTCAGTCGCAGACCTCCAGCAATTCGCAGCAGCAGCAGCAATCGGGAGGAAGTCCTGCTGGTTTCTCCAATGCCAACTTCAAGATGCGACATGCGAATCAGTCGAGTGCCGGCCACCAGCAGATCATATACGCCAGCTATGCGGGAATGCCCCAGCAAACACCCAGCCAGGACCCTGCCAGGTGCCCCGAGCCTGGTCAGGTGGCCTGCTTTGGCCGGCAGAAGGAGTGCATCCCCGCTGACCGATGGTGCGATAACGTAGTCGACTGTTCGGACGGCAGTGATGAGTCCGCCTGCACCTGCGCGGATCGGTTAGACGAGGACCGTCTGTGCGATGGCTATGCTGACTGTCCCATGGGCGAGGACGAGCTGGGCTGCTTTGGCTGCGAGCCCTTGGCCTATTCCTGTTACGAAAACCTGGAGGAGTATGAGCAACACAATCGCTCCATGATTTCCATGTGTTACAATCGCCTAGAGCGTTGCGATGGCTTCCTGAACTGCCTGAACGGGAGGGATGAGGAGCAGTGCAGCATGTTGGTCACCGATGTGGCGGATCATATGGTAAGTGAACTGATTACTCATTGATTTATGGTTCTTAATCTCTTTTATCCTATCCAGTCGCATGCCGCATCTGCTTCCGAGGGCTTTCTATACCACAATCATCGCGGTGACTGGCATCCGGTGTGCAACAATGGTGAAAAGTGGGCAGCCGCCGCTTGCGAGCTGGATGGAATGGATCTCATGGCAGATTCCCTCAATGTGAGCTTCAGGGCCTTGACTCTGCCGGGTCCCTTTATAGAGCCCTCCCTGCATGCTGGCGTACTGTTTGCTCAGGCCTGTCACGGACGCAATGGGCATGACTCCCTGGTGGATCATGTGGCCTACGTTAAGTGTCCTCCCATGCAGTGTGGCCTGCCGAAGAACACCACAAAAACGAGGACAGAGCACTCCAAGAGAGTGAAGCGAGCTGTGGCGCCGCCAGAGTCCCAAGAAATCCTGGGCGAGGGACGAATTGTGGGTGGCAGCTATACCAGTGCCCTCCAGTGGCCATTTGTGGTGGCCATTTATAGGGATGGCAAGTTCCACTGCGGAGGAACCATTTACTCGGAACGTTGGGTGAGTTAATGTAAAGCTGGCCTTAGAGTCCATATAGTAATCATTTCGTAACAGATTATAAGTGCCGCCCACTGTGTCATCAACTTTGGCAAATACTTCTACGAGGTGCGCGCGGGACTCCTGCGACGTTCCAGCTATTCCCCTGCCACCCAAATCCAACCCGTGTCCCATGTGGTGGTCCATCAGGCTTACGAGAGGAGAAGCATGCGCAACGATCTCTCCCTGTTGCGACTGGCCAGTCCGCTGCATTTCAATCGCTGGGTGAAACCCATATGTTTGCCGGACAAGGGAAGGACAACGCTAGGCGACGATTGGATCTGGGGACCTGAGGAGAATACCCTATGCACTGTGGTGGGATGGGGGGCCATCAGGGAGAAGGGTCCGAGCAGTAAGTAGAAGAAATTAATAAATATTTATAAATATTAATGTACTGAATATATTTTCCCAGGTGATCCCCTTCGCCAAGTGGTGGTTCCCATACGCAAACGGTGCACGGATCCCGAAGATCAAGCTTCCGAGGACATTTGTGCTGGTGATCCCAGTGGAGGACGCGATGCCTGCCAGGGAGACTCAGGTGGTCCGCTCTTCTGTCGCAGCATTGCTCGGCCGGAGGAACACTATCTCGCTGGAGTAGTGAGTCACGGCAATGGCTGTGCTCGTCCCAAGGAGTTTGGTGTCTATACTCGCGTGACTCTCTACCTGGACTGGCTGGAGATGGCCACCACACCGCACCTGCTGCCCACGCGCCAGCCCCTGCAAATGTGTCCTGGGTTTATATGCGTCTGGGGAGGCAAGCGTTGCATAGCCAAGCGGCAGAGATGTGATCGCAATGTGGATTGTCTAGGCGGCGAGGATGAGGTGGGCTGCGCCTACAACTTCATACCCGACATGGTGGGTGGAGAGCGGCAGAATTTGAGCACCACCACGGAGAGTGACTATCATCCTGAGAAGGAGCCCGCTGCAGTGCCTGTTGAGAGTAAAATGCGTGAAGTTATACCCATTGAGGATGATGATTTGAATGCGGAACAGGATGAGGAGGAAGAAAGTACAACTTGGGAGGATGAAAAACAGTTCTCTACGCCTGAAGATGTTACGTCAACTACGACTAATATAATCTTATCTACAACTGAGGAAAGTCTTGAACAAAGTTCAACAAACATTGATTCCTTTACAAGCGAATCTACCATCATATCATCTTCTACACTGGAGTCTACGACAATGTCTCCAAATATTCCTCCTTCTTCCACAACAATTGAATCATCAACAACGTCTTGGGCTAATCTAGAAACCACAACGACGGCTACAACTCTCACAATACCCACATCCACTGAGGATTTAAAGAAGCTCACCGACTTGGTAACCCAATTTATGGAGGAGAGCACAACCGCTATTGATCTAGGAATAAGTACCTCAACCTTGGCCACAACAGATGATGTCAGCGAAGTAACAACAGAAGGAGTAAGGGAAACTACAACCACGGAGCCTACAAACGCACCAAGTAGCAGCACAGTCAGCTTTACCACAAGTGCTATCACCTCAACAGCCATATCAACCACTGAAGGACCTTTGGTAACAACCACTTTAGCAGCCACAACAACCACAACGGAAGCCCAATTTACCCACAAAGAACAAATGAAAATACCCAACAAGTTCGTGTGTAAAAAGTGAGTTCATTTAAGATTTGTTCTCTATTTCCTTTAATTACATTTTTGCCTTTCAAATACTCCACAGAATGGCTCAAATAGTGGACATTCAAATGCGCTGCGATCGCAAGGCGGACTGTGAAGATGGAACCGATGAGTTGGACTGCTCCTGCAGAGACTATTTGAGTCACAGCCTCAAGAGTCTCATATGCGATGGCAAAGAGGATTGTGAGGATCGCACAGATGAGCAGGACTGTGGTAAGGCAACAACTTTGATAAACCTTTATACATTTATATCATATTCAAAAGCTTGCAATGCAGTGAGAAGAGATTTCCGACCCCATAATCCATATATATTCTTGATCAGCTCAAGAGGGAAATCTTTCTAGGCATGTAGGAGAAAAAATTTTTTCAAAATATTAAAAGGGGTTAAAATTTTAAAATATTGGTAAAAAAAAAATGTATTAAAAATTGTAAACTGAGTATGCAGATTTATTAACCTAATGAAAACAAACAGAAAACAGCTTTCCGAATCAAAATTAATGCATTGTTGGCTTTGTTATGCATTTTTGAAGCTTTGGTTAGTATTAAAATTGTGATACTAAAATATTTATAAATATTGACTCAAAAATGGTTTTGCAATTTTAATCAGAAGCATAAAACGCAGTGAAGGAGTCATTTCCGACCCGATAAATCATATATATTCTTGATCAGCATCAACAGGCGAATCTTTCTAGCCATCTTCTGGAGAGATACAATTTTTTTTATTTTTTCAATATTTTATAAGGGGTTACATCGTTAAAACTGTCAAAAATTGGCAAAAAATTTTATTTTTTAAGATTTTAAATTGAGTATGCAGATTTGTTACCGTAGAAAAAACTAACACAGGACCGCTGTCCGAATTTAAATAAATGGATTTTTGACTTAGGTATGAGTTTCTTAGGAATTGATTTTTAGGACATATTTTCATATAAAAATATTGGTAAATATCGACTAAAAATGGTATTGCAATTTTAGTCAGAAGCATAAAACTCAGTGAAGCAGTCATTTCCGACCCTATAAATCATATATATTCTCGATCAGCATAAAAATCTGAATCTTTCTAGCCATCTTCCGAAGAAATACAAATTTTTCGATTTTTTTAAATATTTTATAAGGGGTAACATCGTTAAAATTTTCAAAAATTGTCAAAAAATTGTATTTTTTAAGATTGTAAATTAAGTATAAGCAGATTAACCTAACAAAAACTAACATAGGAACGCTTTCTAATTTAAAATTAATGCTTTTTTGGCCAAGTTATGCTAATGTTAAACATTGAATTGCCTACAAAATTGTCATATAGAAATATCGACAAACATAGATTAAACAAAATGCAACTGTTCAACACAATAATTCAATTGCAAGAGTGTACAAATTTCATTTAAATCGTATACTCTGTATTCTGGTTCATTAAACCAATGAAAGCCAACACAAAACAGCTTTCCAAATTGTTATTTATACTTTTTGACTTAGTTATGATTATTTTCGGATTCGGCCCCTGATATAATTTAAAACTTTGGCTTCCTAAAGTTAACTTTCTTTCTTGTTAATCAAAAGATTTCATCTATTAATTACCTTTTCATTATTTCTTATTACAGGCGGTTGCCAGGCCAACGAGTTCCGCTGTCCGCTGTCCAAGACCTGCCTGCCTCTGAGCAAGCGCTGCGACAATCAAGTGGACTGCAGGTTTAAGGAGGATGAAAAGGACTGCTGTAAGTACCAAGATCAAAGTATATTTGTTATTCAAACAGGGAGGAAAGTTCTATTTGTAATTAAGATTTCATTTATATATCTATGTATTTAAAGTATAAATAAATCCTACCTTCCAGTTGCCCTTACCAATGGCCACGATGTCCACTTTGATGTCCATCAGCAGCCCAAGTTTAGCAGTGCCGGGATCTTCTCCCGCAACGGACATGGCGTGTGGCGTGTGGTCTGTGCCCACGAAACGGGCTACCACGAGCATCAAGCTAATACCGCAGACGCAGTGTGCGCGCTCCTCGGCTTCAAAGGAGCCCACTATTTCAACAGTTCCGCCTTTGTAAACCAGCAGGAAATGCATCCCATAACACCAGAGTTGAGGAATAGCCGAAACTTTGTTCAGCTTCGGTCCATGGTGGCAGACAACATTCAGATGACTGAGAACGAGATAATAATACCGGAACTGGGTCACCCTTCCGCATCGAGGCCTGAGAAGGATCGCCTTTTACCCAACAAGTGCCTGGGCATCTACGTGGAGTGCAATCCTCTGTCGAACAAGACCACACCGCTGAAGACCCTCAGTGCTGGCCAGGCTGTCAAGCCGCAGCCCAAGGAGCAGGTGCCCGTTCTCCTGCCCACCATCGAGACCCACAGCAGGCCAAATGTGCACTTTAAGCCGCAGATTCCCGCAGTTATTGTGAACAAAAAGGATGAGATTCTGGACCGACTCGATAATCTGATTAAGAGCAAGAAGAACACGACTTTGCTGGTAAACGAACAGCTCCACGAGGCCATCGAGGAGCTGCACTGGCCATGGCTGGCGGATGTCTACCTAAACAGCGAGCTCTGGTGCATCGGTGTGCTCATCGATAAGCACTGGCTGCTGGTCCACGAGAGCTGCCTCGCGGGGATTAGCCTGGACACGGACTACATGAGCGCCTTGCTGGGCGGCGGCAAGACAAAGAGATCTCTGCACAGGAGCAACCACGAGCAGATAAGGCGGGTGGACTGCTTTGAGCCGGTTCCTCGGTCAAATGTGCTGCTGCTGCATCTGGAGCAGGCGGTGCGCTTTACTCACCATGTGCTGCCCACCTTTTTGCCAGACAGGTAAGAAAATTGATTTAGGTGAGAGACATCCTTTTAAACATACATTTCCTGAAGCTCCCAGCACGACCACAGTGCCCCGAGGGACTGCATCAGCGTGCTGCATGACGATCTCACTGGTCGCATCAAAACTGTGGGAATTGTACGAACGCCCAACGATACCAGCTGCGAGTCCTGCTACAAACTGCAAGAGAAGCAGCCGCCTGTGAATTTGATGCGCCTGCTAAATGTGAGTGCCGAAGACATGGCCTCCATTTCGGAGGAGGTGGAGCTCATTAACGGCGTGGCCCCCACTGAACTTCCGGCCATAACCAAGTTTACCAGCTGCCATCAGTTCGGGTTGAAAAATGTCAGCGACTCGCCGCAGAACCACATCAATCCCAGCGACCAGGGGGTGTTGGTCTGTCGCGATTCGCACACCGGTTGGTTCCCCACGGCCATGTTTAGCTACAACAACTCGGATTGCCAGAGTTTCAAGCAGCCATTCGGCATTCGGACTTTAGAGCTGGCATACAAATCGTTGCAGGACATAATAGGTGAGTTGTATGAGGTGGTCTGGTTCAAGTTGCCAATTTCAAATCAATTTCTCGCTCTCTTCCTCTGGTAGACAAACCATCGTGCCAAAACCCAAGGGCAGCTCCACAGTGCTCTACGCATCGGTGCCCCCTGGGCCTGTGCCTGCCCCAGGAGGCCATCTGTAATGAGCGTCCGGATTGCCATGATGGCAGCGATGAAGAGGAAAGCAATTGCCGCCAGGTGAAGCAGCGCTGTGCTCCCGGCGAAATGAAGTGCCGGTCCAGCTTTAAGTGCGTGCCGAAGAACAAGTTCTGTGACCACGTTCCCGACTGCGAGGACATGACAGATGAGCCCACGATTTGCAGTTGCTTTACCTACTTACAGTGAGTTGGATTCCAAGGTTTTTAAACATTTAATAACACGATTTCATACAGAGCCACTGATCCCTCCAAGATATGCGATGGCAAGCGAAACTGTTGGGATAAGAGCGACGAGAGTTCGGTGCTGTGTAATTGCACTGCAGATCACTTTCAATGCAGTTCGTAAGTTTAGACTTTTAAAATATTTACCAGACAGAAAAACTATGTAAGAAAAACTATAATAATTAAAAAGAACCTTGTTTTGTAGTTCTATTTAGAGATTTGCAATGCTCTCGTTAATTGTAAATTTTATTTCCTTGCCAGCTCTCCTGAGGACTGTATTCCCCGTGATTTTGTGTGCGACAAGGAAAATGATTGTCCCAATGGAGAAGACGAACGCTATTGCTTCGGCATTGAGCATCCTTTGCAGCAGCAAAAAAAAGATTTCTGGGCGAACAGTCAGCACACGTTAGTAGATCCCCAAGTAAGTTTCTAGCAATGAATCTCACTTAAAAACTCATATTACAGGCAACCAGAAAAGGCTCCTCAGTACGGTCAGGTCATCGAACAAACGTACGGCATATGGCACACTAAATGCTTTCCCAAAAGCAAGCCCCCGCATGTGGATGAAGTGCGTGAGATATGCAAGAAGCTGGGGTACAATCCCTACAGGCAGCCCAGCTATCGGTTGATTGACGATGCCGAGAACAAGGCTGTGCATACATACGAAACGGCCGATCAGCGAGGGCGCAGCTTCAGTAACGAGACCTTGGTGGGGAAGTACCGGGAAGCCACCAAGGCGCTGATTGTCAGCAAATTCTCACCGCTGCAGCTCAATGAGCGGCTGACGCTCTTCCTCAAGTCCAGCCGACCCATTGCCGAGCTGGTGCGATGGAATGCCACCGATTCCAACCTGTGCTACCGGCTGGAGATCCGATGTGCCTGACGTCTCACTTGGACTAGGTAAGAAGTCCTCGCGTTTTTTGGTCCTTTGTGCGTTTTAGTAGCAAAAATAAATGAATGCGAGAGCCATTTAATTATTAACTTGGTTTTATTTTAATTTCGTAATCAGTTGATGTTGCATATTCTTTGTTAAGCATGGGACTTGGGTTATTTGTTTTGTAATTTTAGTTTAACAAACGAATTTTCTTTTGGTTTTGGTTTGGTTTTGGTTTTATAAATGTAAAAAATCGCTTTTGTTTTGTTTTTAGTTTTTGTTTTGTTATGTCAAAAGCCAAACAATGTAATTAATTAAAGCACTTAATCAAGTGTTGTTGGGTTTCCTTTAAATTCGTTAAAAAGACGTAGGTTATCGTATGTTATAATTAGGATTAGTTTATGAAAGAAGGTACTTGAGAATTATAAGTATATGCGCACTCCTTGAGAGCGGATGTAAACAACGGTTTTGGAAATAAGTTAATCTCTCGTTGGTTATATTACAATAATAAGTATATAAATAGTTAGGGGAATAGGTGTATAAGAGTAACTAGTTAAATGTATTCATAAGTCTTTGGCGCTGATTAGGATTTAATTTGTTTTCGGGGAATACTTCTAGGAGGTAATTAATGTATATAATTCATTAGATAAACGCAAACATTAGTTGGGAGGCGAAAATACTTTCAAAGTTATTTAGTTTGATTAAGAGATCTCTTTGTACAATAAATCATCTTCATTTTCATTTCATAATTTTCAATTGAATCACAAATCGTTGTTAAAGTATATATATTTAAATTTATGAATAGGTAAATGCTTAGACTAGAGTTAATCATTCCGAATGGTTAGTTAGTTAGTTCAAAGATTATATAAGCTTAAGTTGAGGAACGCGTACGATCAGACTCTAGGCTCTCTTGAGATCTTTTCTTTCTCTTTACCATCCCTCTCAAAATTTGTGCGAGTTAAAGGACACGTTACGCATCTTGTAGCTTAGATAATCTCTGGTTAGTTGTTATAAGTGCGATCTATATATGAATGTGTGCGTGTTGTTTAATGTGTGTATATAGTAGTGGGCGCATTGAAAAGCGATGCATGTAGAGAGTTGACTGGATTCCAGGGATTGGGTTCATAGCTCAGGCAAACAGTTCTCAACACAACCTTTGGCAATTCTAAGTTTAAGAGTAAATAGGTTCATAGAGTTGATAGTAGAGCTGGGGAGAAAGCGTAGTTCTAAACTAGTGTTAATTTTAAGCTTAATTCATTAAGCAAATAAATCTCGTTTACGTTGTCATGAAACACAGCAGTTTATACTATCATTATTTACATATCTAGTCGTACCTACTAAATTACGCCCTAAGATTTCGTTAACTGTACTAACTACGCGACGTCTCGTCTCCATGATTCCGCTTTCCGTTTCGCTAAAATCTTAATGGAATATTGGTGCGTTTTTATTTACAAATTGATTCGTTCTAGATTGGTTTCTCATAGTATGTTGTGTATATATTAAAGCTTATGGAGAGTTAGTTAGTTAGTGGATTTCACTGGATGAGAGTGTTCAGAGTCTCTGAAAGTTTGTTTAGAGCTATCGTTGTAAAAGTGGTTTTCTATTTTATTTTTGTTTAATGATAGAGAATTAGAGGCTGCTAGCGATCCTATAATGAATCTAATATCCTCCTTTGTTGTATATTTTTCCTATAGGTGCTGCCGCCTAAAAACCTCCAGCAGTTTGGGAAACAAAATTTACACAGAGATCATCTCCATTTGGGCCAAAAAGTATGCTTTAAACTCTACTGTTGATCACTAAAGGTAAGCCAGCCCCATATTTATATTTTATTTAAACAGAAGTTACATACGAAACTCGGGTTAAATAATAGTCAATAAATAAATCATATATATTTTGCTAAAGACTGCACACACAATAATATTAAGCCTTGGGCCTTAAACAAATCTCTCACTTGCAATAAATAACGTAAAATTAAACATAAAATATATATGGTTGGATCAGCTTTCACAAACTGCAGGCGTCAGATGAACCTTTGTGCGTTTCAGTTTTCCGTTTGTCAAACTTTGACTTAAGCTAATTAATCGTAAACATAAACAACTAAAACATTTTAGTCAACATAAAGAGAGAAGAACTCAGGATGAATTTACACAACATGTGATGCGTACACAAAATCTATTTAAACACCGATATCGATCTCTCGGATCACCTGAACCTTTAGCTAAATGGGGGACTTTTATTTGTTGTTATCTAACGCTTGCGAGACGAGTTAAAAATAGTGTTTCTTGAGTTTCATATCAAATTCCCACAAGCTTTTCCTAAAAGTCCTTAAGTCGATTTCCGCTGTTCCCTGTTCTCCTCAAGCTGGGTGGGTGGCGTGTTCTCCTGGGTGCGCACCAGATGCGAAGGCAGTTGCATGTTCAGCGGATCATGGATCCTCCTCAGATTGTACTCCAACTCGGCCGACTTTCGCTTCAGCTCGTTGTAGTGATCCACATCGAACTGGATCTTCTTGGCGTTCCTGTAGAGTGTGAGGGAGTACTCACGGTTCTTTACGTGCTCCATGATGTACTCCTGCAAGGAATTGTATTATTATTCTATTTAGTTCTTAGCGGAGGCTTTTCCGAACTTACTTTCTTCGTTACGCAATAGTAGGCATACATTGCCATTGTCGTTCCATAGGTTACAAAATAAGTGACAGGCTCCATGATATCCCAAGAGTATTCCCACCAGGTCAAGCGCGCCAATATTCCAAACTGCACAGACATCAGGCCTAAGCCCATCCAGGTCATAAAATTGGTGCGTCGAGCCGCCTTTTTGCTCAGTTCCAGTTTTTGCTGTAAGATTTCACGGAATAATGATTAAGATTCGTATTTACTTTCATTTTATTTCTTACTAATAGTTGTTTTAGTTCTAATTTATTAAAGTTGAAATCGAACTCACCTCCTCTAATGGCTCGAGTTCATAACGTAAACTCTCTAGCTCCTTGGCCAGTTGATTGCTCTTCTCCAGCTGATATTCACCCACATTAAATGCCTCATATAGCTGCATTTAACAAAGATTTTTATGAATTAAATTCAAATGTTGGAAATAATATTCAGAAATACCTCTCACCTGAGCTATAACTTTTCGCACATCACCGACTTTGTCTATAGATTCCCCGGTAATCTTCTCCCGCTTCGGTGGATTTACCTCCAGTGTGCGATTGTTGATTTGTATGCTATGTGTTCGATAGATAGTTACTATGGTTATGGCAAGAATCATACAAATTTCTTACCAAAATGAGTCATCCAGTAGGCTGTCGATGGTGCAGGACGAGGCAATGCGCACTCCATGCTTGTTGATGATCGCAGCTCGATCGATTCCGCGATCCTCAGCTCTTAGCATGGCGAGCAGATCGCCCACATTGTGGGTGATGGGTTTCAGGGCAAACTGGCAGAGTTCATTGCGGCTGGGCAGGCGGACAGTTATGTGTGGCATACCATTCACATACTCCACATAGATGTCGTCTGAGGAGGGATATTTGGAAAGATACTTTTAATATTTATATAAATATATTAGGAGTAGCTTAAATCCCAATCGGACTTTGTATCTTGTGATGAGAAAGTTCGATGTGGAATTCTATGCATAACAGGGATTTCCTTAGGGATGCATATCTAGTACAGCATATGCTTGAACTTTATCTTATCAGCTTAGTTACAAGTTCCTCGATCACCCTTGTTTGAGTGAGATTAAATCTAATACGTAAAGGTGTTCTGTTCCTACTTCTCCTCAAGGTAGAACTCTTTTGGCTCCCCAAAAGAGTTTCTCTGGTCGGATGTGTGCCACTACGGGCTTGGTTTTTCCTCTGCTCGCAATTAACCAAGAGCCACTCAAGGTTACTCGCCAACCTGGCTCAATTCGAATGCAGTTAGGCGTTCGAATTGCTTGCTGAGGCATGACTTTTTCAAAACGATTCCCCTCTCTCTCTCCATTTGGGTAAGGTGCAAGAAATAACAAAGGCAGGCTGCTCGCACGTTTAAGATATAAACACTGGTAACACATAAGATGACACACTGCCGATGGCAGTTTGACAAACAATTCAATTAGCGGCATCTGAAACGCATTCCAGGCGAAGCATCCCCAAGATATGATAGTCATCATGGTAGAGCGAGCGAGTTTTCACTTTGTCGCATGTGGGATCTATGCAGCCATGAAGTAGCACAAACATATATTTATCTGTATCGCTGCCACTCATGCAAGCAGCCACCGAATGCAACCACACGCCAATGCAGCGACGCCACCACCACCACCACCAGCCCACCGTTGCACCGTCGCACTTCTAATGAAGATTTTCTTCTGCCCATATGTAGGTGTGTGTGTGAGGGTACACGGCAAGAAAAGTGTCATCATCACATCGGTTAAAACAAGTTTTAGAAAGTTCTTATTAATTTAGGGTTTCACTTTTGAAAAGATTTTCTAGATTCAATTAGTTTGAAGTTTATTAAACATTATTCCCTGTAATATTCGGATAAATACCCATTTAAATCTTTATAACAATGGTCATACCTATTGTTATTGACTAGATTTCTAGTAGATTTGCTACCATTTACCCCAGTGTATTACTTTAAATCGCCTTTACCCACTGGGCCTGAATGCTGCCGAGTGTTGGCTGGGTCTGTTCAACCCATTAGCAATCGGAGTCGGCGCCAAAAGTGGGTAACTAGTGTTGTTACTGTTACAACTTGGCTAACTAACATTAAGCCGTCGCTCATTGCTCGCTGGCTCTGGCTCTGGCTTTGGCTTTGGCTTCTTCTTCTACTGACTGCGATGATTATTTTCATGGACTTTGATTTTTTGGGATTTTAAACATTTTATGTTTTCTTTTTCTGCTGCTGCTTCGCCTGCTCCATCGTAGGCTTCTTCTGCTTCTGCTTATGTTTTTTTTATTGATAGTTTGAGATTTTTGTTTTAATTTTCAGTTAACTTTCAGATTTTCGCGCTAGCAGACGTGTGTGTTGTGCATGCCCATCGTCAGATAATTTGTGTGTACGTGGCAGTCAATACTGGCTTTCAATATAACTAATAAACTCATTAAAGCGCGATATTGTGTGCGAAAATAGATATATCAAGTGTCGTGGCAACAAACCAAACAAAAACTTGGATTTATTGGACACAAGTTGCTGACAGAGAGACAGACATTCCACATACAGGACAGCATCGGTCCTAGGGAAAAAGTTTAATTTACAGACTATATGATGACACTGCCACAGCAAAATCAAATAAAGTTTTGCGGTCCTGTCAGAGGTTTTTGTGTTTGTGAAAATATATAAAAAAAACGAACTAGAGAACAACCTGGCCTGCATGTTTTCTGTATAGAGCCACAAGTTCTGATGAGAACAGAACAGCGAACGTGCCAACATTGATAATTCCATGTCAGATGCTCGCCCACGGCAACGCTTTGATAGGCCGCAGGACCAGTAGCAGGAGCAGGAGCAGGAGCAGCGGTAGCAACTTTGCTTCATCAAAACTTAATAGCCAGTTTCCGCATCCCTGCCAAAACAAGGCTAACAAGTGTCAGGGAAAACTCGATGCGGTGGCCATGAATGTGTGTATGAGTGGAAACACGTGGTTGGCAAACAAAATGAGGGCACAGAGGGTGGAGACCTCAACCTCAACCTCAATGCGAGGAGAGGTTGCCCCAATGTGGCGACCGCTGCTTCCGTCTCCGGAAATACAAGCGGCAATCAGCCCACAAATTTATAACGCTCCTCGAAGGGGCTTTTCTTGTGGGCGTTATTTTTAGTCAGAATGTGTGTGGGCAGAAATATTGAAACACTTTATCAAATCAGTCTAAAAATATATTCCTCAGGAGAATATTTGGTTGGGCAGAAATATTGAACCGCTTTATCAATCCCAAAGGATATCTGATCCCAAAGGCGTGTTTTAATATCAATATGGTTAGAGTTCTTGCCAACTAAAAAAACGAATTATTTGATGCAACATTTAAAGAGGAACCTACAGGATAATCCAATAAATTAAAATTTAATCATGAAATAACAAAATGATAAAGTTTGAGCCAAGGAATTAAGCTTGAAATTTAATAATAAATATTGCAATTGAATAAAACAACAGATTATTGATTGAATTGTGCCAGTCGTGTTCTCGGAATTTGTCCAAGCTGATTAACAAATAAAACTTTATTATTAAAGTATTAAGCTTTAATTTTAAACTTGAACCAATTTTAGGCCTAGCAGTTCGGGGAAATTGGGGAAATTTAAATGAGAATTCTCAGAATAAATCAAAGCACTTAAGTTCCATTTCCTTGATAAGGTTCTGCTGCTTAAATTATATATTTTTCTAGTTCACTTGGCAATCTCGGGGAAAATGTCCTGACAAATGTGTAGTCGACTTTCCGGCTGCCGTGATTTCCACGTGTATGTGTGTGTGTGTGTGTGTGTGGGGAAAAAACTTGCAGGCTGAATATTCAAGTACCGTTGCGTGTGCGAGTGTGTGTGTGCATGAGCATTGCATGATTACAAGGAGGAGGTCCTGTGCCTGCTCCAGTCACAGCCACAGTTGCCACACTTTACCCTCCGCTCTCCCTCTCTCTCTCTCTCTCTCTCTTGCAATGCCAGCAGAAATTGTCCTTTGTGCATTATTAAAAATTCCGGCAACCGCCTCGTGTTTGCATATTTTTTGTGATTTCATTTTTTTCGTTCAACAAGATTCGCGTGCCAGGTTTCTTTTCACTTTCCCCTCGCTGCCAGCCTGCGTGTGCCCCTGCATTTAAATCAAATTATTAAGCCGCACAGCTAGGGGGAGCTGACAGTATATTATATAAACTACATGCATAAAATATTCAACAGAAAGCATACGCTTTAATTGAACGATAAAAAGTAAAAGGAGGAAGCACGCCCATTTGCAAGGACACAGAAAGCGCAGAGGACCAAGAGATTAACGGGTAAGTTGGGGGGCGGAGTAGCATTAGGGCTGGCATTGACAATGACAAAGGGAAGAAGAGTTTGCCGGGCTTCAGGATTTGTTAAGCATATTCCTTTGCTTTTGTTTGTTGCAGTTAGTTTTCTAAACACTAGTTTACTAATAGTTAAATTGGAATGTATTAGAATATTGATTTATTACACGTATGTCGCAAGAATGCTAAGATAACCATATTTATCCTTATCCTTAAAGTGTAATTGTCACCATTTTATGAACTGCATTCACAATGCAAATAACAATCCCTGTAAACTAGTGTTGTGGGACTTTAGCCCTTGTTCAATCTCCCTTCTGTACCTACCATTCTGCTGGTCAGTGTCTTTTGGGGGGGACATCCCAGAGGTCGTTTCTGAATTATTTACGAGCTCCTCAGTGGAAGACACCGCCTTCGAGGACAAATTGGAGCCGCTTGTTGCAGCCCTGACTGCCCCGCTGGATGTTGCCAGCCGCTCGAGCAGGACCTGCTTTCGGCCGGATGCACTCAGTCCGAGGGCTCTTAGGCGCGTCCTCAGCTCGGTCAGAGTCAGTCGCGTGATATCTGGCATGGTGATAATAGTGGTGATAGTAGTGGGCGTGGGCGTGAGAGCAGGGGGCAGATGCGCAAAAAAGTAGGTGATGAAATAAAAAAAAGAGGGAGATACGAAAAAAAGAAATTAAACAGAATTTTCCATCAAAAGAAAAGGGCTTGGCCAGGTGCTAGGTGCTAGGGGCTAGGGTCCTACAAGCCTCTCCTTCCCCTTTTGATAATGAATCAAAAAGCAAGCAACACAAAGAGCAAGGAGCCCAAGGAGCTCGGGCACCAAAAAAAGCGCAGTAAAAATGATGGCACGTGCAGTTAACGCCGCAAAAAATGCACATAAAAAGATGAGTCGAAAATGTGTTTAACAAAATAAAAAAGATGCCGCAGGAAAAAACAGACGTTTTCGTCAATGGCGAAAAAATGTTGATGGAGCGACGAAGCTCCAAGGCAAGGCAGCGAAAAAAATAAAATAAAAAGGAGACCTCAGGCTTGTCACAACGTTGCTGTTCTTTTTTTTATCAGTTCCGGAAATGACACGCACACAAAAATGAGAATAAGAGAAACAGGACGGCGGAGAGGACATCAACGAAATGCAGGCACATTAAATTTAATGCCATTGTCATCCTCAAAATTAACACAATGAATGGCGGGAGCGGGGCTGTCGTTTGATTGCCCCGCAAAAGGATGAGTGAGATAAGATGGGTTCCCATGTTCCAAAACCACATTGTGCATATTTTAGTCATACTTTTTGTATTATTTAAACATTTAAAAAAGATGCAGAGTTTAAATTATCATGAGGGTTTTGTTCTGAAGACATTAAAATGGTAGTACAAAAATATTTGAAGTGGTGCTTTGGGTTAATGCCTTATCCAGATACTTTGAAGAAGTTTTTAATATATAATCCTTAAAAATTTAAGCATTTTAAAATAGTTTGGCTTTCCTAACAAGGGCATAAACAGGTTAACTAGAACAGAGTCGTTAAACAGATTAACATGTTCAATTATTTATCGGATATAATTAAGTTTCCCACAGTTGTGTGATTGTAATAATTCCCTTGATGCCATAAAAGTCTTCTCTTTTGTATTTGATAAATATTTTATCTATTAATATTCGAATTAAACATTCAAAAGTAATTTAAAAGCCTGTTTAATGTTTAATCTGCTCACGCTTAACTTCGGATTATGTACTCAAAACTCATAAAAAACGTTTTAGCTTAGTTTGCACTAATAAATTGTATTTCTGCTTAATGTTTACTGCAGCCAGCTAGTAATGTAATTTAGTCGCAACCCATTCTTTTCGCCTGATTAATGTGGCCACAGTTAAATTTAATTCCGCGCCATCTAAGCGGATAAAAGCCCCTCATGCTGCTACGCATTATTTAAATTAAGCAAGAACGAATTTTCCGAAGCACAAAAACATGAAATAAAATGTGAAAGCGAAGCTGAAACTTTGTGTGAAAGAGGGAAAAATATGCGTAAGCCGAGGGCAAACAGACATATTCTGGCAGCCATAAAGCATCGCCCGCCTTTAAGCTCATGAAATATTTATGAAATTGCAGGGCCAGGACAAAATCTTGTAAAATATCCTTGTTTGTTTGTTTATTTGCAATGCCAGCCCATAAAATCCCAGATTTTCTGAACCGAAATCGATTTCTGTACATTATTTTTCCAATGAATGGAAATTTACTGGATTTTCCGCACCGAGTTTTGACAACAATTAAGTTTCTTAGAGAGATACACTTTTCAGTCTTTTGGCCCCGCCAGGCATTCACTTAATTAATGGAAAACCCGTGGAAAATTCGCAGAGAGTTTTGCGGAAAACTCAACAAGCTTGAGAGAATGGGGTGGTGGTGTGTTGGTGTTTTCTGTGTGCATAAAATGGAAAAGAGAGTGCCGCAGAAACCGCAACCTTAACCGCTTTGCGGGCATTGTGTTTTTGCATTGTGCTTAGGCTTTTTAATATTTTAACAGCACTGAGAGAAATACCTGTCAAATGTATAGTTTTTTTTGTAAGCCAGAAAAGTACAAATACAGTCTGGAAAAGGTAGTTTTTAGGAAAACTACTTACGTTACTGAAAGAAGTTCATATCTTTGCTGAATAATTAATATTCTCTCTAGAGTTTATATAGTTATTTTCCTAATAAATTGTATACGAAATGAGTACTTCTTCTTTATACCGAAACTGTAAGAAACTCAATTGTTTTCATCCTGTTTTTATTCTCTATGTGCTTTCCCCTCGTGCTCGTTTTTCCTTTTTCTCTTTCACCTTGATCTCATTGTGCGGTATGTACGCTCTATGCCATAAGCCAAAGGCAGCTGCGGAGTTTGCACAATAATCGCAAACTGCGGGCCAAGACAAATAGTGGGGCAAGACAAAAGGGGGAGGGGATGCAGGCATGCAGGGATGCAGGATGCAGGATGCAGGAGGCAGGAGGCAGCAACTTCAATGCAACTTGGTCGAGTGTCTGGCGCAGGAAAGCATGCTACGCTTTTTGTCTGTTTTTCTTTTTTCGGGTAAAAGGACATTCGTTGAAGCATAGGAGATGGTATAGCATATAGGAAATATTTATGACCACAAGCACTTCGCCATATAGGGCCTAGGGCAGAGAGAGGCCATCTTTTTTTTAGGAGAGCCATTAAAAATTGAAGTGATCTATAAGCGCAGCGTAGGCTCGGCGAGGTCATGGAATTTGGTATGACTTCCAGCCTGTGTGGGTAATGCATTTTTCAGGTTTCTGATTATAGGTTTAATATTCAATCTGTAAAATTTTAGTACATAAAGCTAGGGGGGTTTATATGCATTATTTAGAGAAGATAATGGAAACTGAAGACCTAAAACTTATTTTACACCGATAAAGGAATATCTAGTGAAACATTTCTTAACTTAAAGTGTGGAAAACCAACAATATAAGCCCTATTTTATTTAACAAAGCTTTTCCGATACAACCTTCTACTGCAACCTTTCTTAAACCTCTCCCCATTTCTTTTAAATATGCCTGTTTTTCTCTCCCTCAAATATAAGCTTCCAGTGCATCTTCCATTCTCCAAAATTGATTCCCCCCTCGGCACTTTATAACTTACTACTTTTTAAAACAATGTAGTATAGTCGGGCGATGTTGCCGCCTTTAAGGTGCCTTTCGTTTCTATAAACAAACTCATCGTTCAGCTTTCGACGGGAAATTTCACCCCCTCGTCCATCTCCTCCAATCTCACCTTGGACGCTGGACGCACTGAGCGGAAATTGTGTTTTTCCCACTACACTGATGGCCTCTGCTTGTGTGTTGGGTGTGTAATTCCTGGGACCGCTGGGAAAACAAGACAAGGGAGCCAACGAAGCCTCAAACGAATGCTCTGGTGAACTCTTTAAGCACTTCACATGGCAACAACGAGGACATCGAGGCCATCGTGGAGTGGTGACATTTTGAGTGGTGCAAGTGACGTCTGGGAGGCCTCAAGGATTCCGTCCACTTGGCGGCTCATTAAAGAGATAAAGTCAGCTCCACATGCTGCTCCTCCACCTCCTCTTCCTTGTGTGTGTCTGTCACGAACAAGTTTAATTAATTGCTCAAACTTTACGCAAATGAAATGTCAAGCAACAGTTTTATTATCTTCCACTTGCAGCCCCTGCATCACAGGAGGGAGTGTTTGGGACACCAAAATAATATATATATCGGAAGTCCGGCACATTTTGCACGTCAAAATAGGCTCCGGACAGAGTCACAGCCTCTGCTATGGCGGCACGATGGGCCACGGTTACTTTCGAACGTCACAAACGTCGTCATCGTCGCGCCAGCGGGACAAGCGGTAAGTGCCATTGTTACTCAATACAAAAATGCACTTAGAGAAAGGGTTATCTTATGGATACTAAATATATTCCGACAAGAATAGATCTTAAGACGGGATTGGGATGGAAAATGCATTTCTGAACCTTGAGAAATTAGCTTTTAAGACCTGGCTTGATGCCTTTCAATACCTCCTACTTTGATTATACGACTTGCATTGATCATTGATTAAATGGATTAAGATGGATTCAAATTTATGTTGACCTTAAATTCACTTAGCCACTTGTCCGTCCGTTTACAGTCACAACAAATTCCAATCAAGCTCTGAGGAGATGTGGCATCTTAATTGGGTTTCCAAAGTGTAAGAGCAGGCGGCCAGGGATTCTGGGTCAAGTCCCTCCCCTGGGAGGGGGAGCTAATAAAATATCCTTGCAGGCGTATCGGTTATGGCAAGGGTTTCCTTGTAAGCCATAAAAGTTTCTGGCGTGTGAGCAAATGCCTCCCATTGCACCCCAACCCTCTCAAGAATCTGTTTCCCTAATCAGCAGCCTCAACTGGACATCGATATTTATGTCCTGCGGTCTGGGGGAGGTCACCAACACACACAACGTGCGGTGCTGACAAATGGTCCTTCGCCTAAGACAGAACAGAAGGGTTTAAAAGTCAGCCAGTTAAGGGTTTGACTTGACTTGGCAATTTCCCCATATAAATTCTAATGTTTAATGAACTGAAGTCTGAAGAAAACGGAGTGGTAAAAGATACTGTATACAATGGAAAATTGGTTTTTAAAGTGTTGCCTGTTTTTCGATATTTAAATAAATCTTTCATCAAGTTTACCAACTTTTTGCAATGGCAAAACGTAGGCAAATAAATTTCAAAGTGCTTAAGCAAAAAGGGAACAGCACAAAAACGAAGGCAAATAAATTGGCACGTCTTCAACTAAGCCTTGGAGATTTTTTAATTAAGTTTGACGACCTTGAAATACCCGCATTTTAATTTTTGCGTACTTTATGGAGGCACTGGAAGTTACATTTGGTGCAAAATACTCTGATATCTATAATCAAAATTTTAAAACTAATTAGAGCGTACTTTCTAGAGACTTTGATAGCTAAATTAATAAGAAAACGTACAGTTTTGGTACTTAAACCTTAAGTTTACAAGTTTTGGAATTAAGATAATAGGATTAAATACCTCTTATTGCCAAGTTACCAATATTGTAATATACCCTAAGCCTAATTGATATGAAAAAAGATTCTTCAAAAAGTTTCAAGAGCTAAGCAAAGAAAAAAATGGTCAGGGAATAATGATGGAACCTTTTGACCAACAAAAAGGTAATCCGGAAAATTAAATTCTGTGAATTTGTTTACCCTTGGAGAGAGTATTTTAATTTTAGTCAGAAGCTTGTAACGCTGTGAAGGAATCATTTCCGACCCCATAAATCATATATATTCTTAATCAGCATTATCAGCTGAATCTTTCTAGATATTTTCGGGAGAAAAACAAATTTTTAGATTTTTCCACATTTTTATAAGGGGTTACATCGTTAAAATTGTCAAAAATTGGCAAAAAATTGTATTTTGTATTGAGTACGCAGATTTATTAAGCTAGCAAAAACTAACACAGGACTGCTGTCCGAATTAAAATTAATGCCTTTTTGGCTTAGTTATGAGTTTTTTAAATTTTGATTTCTCAAAAAATTGGTCATATAAATATTTCTATAAATTCAAATTCAAAGAAATCGAATATTTCAAACTAAGTTATAATCTATGTCCGATTCTACGATTCTATAATTTGATTGCATACTGAAAGGGTCTAAAAACTTCGGCTTTCCGAAGTTAGTTTCCTTTCGGGTTTTGATTTCTCTTTTTGCCAACATAATTAGTGAAGAGCAACGGTTTGACCTTTTCTTTGCCTTCGACGTGTTTTAATTCGAATTGATTTGCAAACTTAATTGGCGAGCAGATAAAAAATAGGAGATGTGCAAACAAAAAATAGGAGCGGGGCATGTCGAACAGAAATGGAACACTTTACCAATTAATTAAATGGCAGCAAAGCCAAATTGAGGCCGCAAGTGGACATGGCGAAAAGAACGGCAATTAAAATAGGCAACGCCGACGGTGGCGGCGCCTACATGAGACATGAGGATGAAATACTGGACATAGATGATGGTCCGGGCGTGGTCCGGCTCCGTGCATTCGTTTAGGGCGGGCAAAGGATGTTTTTATGGGGGCGTGGCAGTGGCTGGTTACCGACAGCTGTTGTTGTCGCCGCCGCCGCTCAAATTCCAATCTGCTGCCGTCGAAGCGAAGTGCATAAGCCTGAAACCTGACGAGGGTTGGCAGGAAAGCAATTAAAAGGGATTGTTTTGCCTTCTACTCCTGCTCCGCATGTGTGGGTGGCTTATATATTTTCCAGTTAATAAACACACACACAGAGAGAAGGCAAAGCGAAAAGTATTTTCAATTAGTTGGCCACAACAGGAATTTTCTTTGTTGATCACAAGTTTGTTTGGATTGAAATGTTTGAGAAAGTATTGGTTGGGAAATTAAATTTCGATACTTGAAAAGTTCAAGAGAAAAGTTGTTAAAATATTTTAACTCTGCTTTATTTAGTATATTTTCTTCAGTAAATCAGTTTCTCTGACAGTAAAATGTAAAATAAAATATTACCCAAGAAGACGTTCTTTAAACCAATAAAAAATCCCAGCATTTTTTATGCCAGCCACTGCCCTCTGGTTACATTTACATCTCCCACTCAGAATGTCTGCATTTTACATCCTCATTTATCTTTCATGGCCAAAAATACAGACATCATTTTGGTTAATAGAATTTGGGTTGTAAATGTGTGAGTGGCTTTTGAGTAATAACCATATTTTAACCTTAAAAAAACGGTATGCTTAACAGACTTAAACAACATTGTTAATAGTTGTATAGCTTTAAGCCCTTTTGAATCAAAATTCCCTAACTTTATACATCCAACAAGGACCATTTTTAGTGGCTGCAATTCCCCAACTATTTTTTGTGGCAACTATAAAAGTTGGTTTGCAATAAATTTGCACATTTTTAATTGAAAAAAACTAACAACAGCTCTTACAAAACCCACACTTCTCGAAATCCCTATTAAATTCCCAGTTGATTTAAAGCGCTCCTCGTGTGCACAAAAATCATGTCGATTTTCGGTGGCCACAGAAAAACATTGGCTTTCCACCTTACCAAACCAAAAAATTGAATGGTTTCCGCTCACATGGCCCCGCCAAAAATCTTTGTTTTCTTTTCCCTGCTCCCATATTTTTGGCCTATAATTCGATGCTGCCTCCATGGCGTATACGCAACGCAGGGGCTTTTCAGGCAGACTCGACAGACAGTCGCTTAATTTGCATACAGAATGCGTGTTCCGAAGGGCGATAATGTATCGACAACTCCCAGATACAAGAGGCGAGAATGGGTACGCCTATCGGAAGTGTGTACATAAAGATGTTAAAGATACATTCAGCGGATTCGATGACATTTTTTCGTGGCCACTGGGCCCTGGGATAAACACATCGATTTATGCATACAGGACTTACATACATACACGGAGAGACATGGACATGGATGGGCGGTCACAGGACTAGTGTCAAGATGCGGGGCGTGGCAAGGGCTCAGCCGTTACCAGGCTTCTAAAGAACATTGCCAACATTTAGTCACGTTTCGGTGGAACTCTGAATTTTTATTGAAATGGCTGTATAAGGGAATGTCTTTCTTTGTGAGAAGGATGCACTAAGCACAACGGGAAAATATATTTAAAATCGAGAGAATAATGCAAGACTTTAGTTTACTTTCAATTTACTTAAAAGGTTAAAGCATAGAAGCTCTGTTCAATCACAAGGATATAGAATTTGATACGATGTAATGTAGATTTTCATTGCTTATTGTTAGGAATTTTGGGGAAAACGTATCTCCCACGAATTCCTAATACTTGTTCTCGTTTTTAAATAGATTTTCTCTAAGTGCATGCTGGTGACGAATTTGTGTGTGTTCCTTGTGCAAACATGTATGTGTATGTGTATGTGTTGGTGTCAGCACTACGTGTAAGGCATACTTCTCGTGTGTTTTTCTTGTAGGCCTTCCAAGTCCCATTTTTTCGGCTGTCAACTCACATGTAAATACAAGAGAGCAGAGAAGAGATCGTTAGAAATGTTGTTAAGTCCCAATAAATTGCCGGGCAAAAGTGAGCAAATTGGATTGACTATCAATTCTAGAGAGGCTCAGAGACAGAGAGGAGTGTGTGCCAAATGGCATTGCATATTTCCGGGCCATAAAGTTCTATTTTTTATGGACGTTCGATGTTCATTAAAAAAGTTTCGAGCACATTTCGGCATGCAAAAACCAGAAGCAAACCAAAACAACAACAACCAGGACAATTGGCAGCTAGAACTTTCACAAAATGTAATTTGAAGGCATAAAACTAGAGGAGAGAGCGACAGAGAAGGAGCAAGGATGGCATCAGGATATAGCCTCAAACAATTTACCAATTAGAATGTGGAAAAAGTTGGCTCTGCCAGGCCTGTAAAGTACGAAATAATTGCATTCTCCTTTTTTTTTCACTCCAAATACCCGCAATGCCTGCGGTTTATGACGACGACGAAGGACAACGATGAGGACTGACTGACTGTACAATAAATATTTCACACTAAATTGCACATTGTGAATAAAAAGTAACAAGCTCGAGGCAAAAGACGCTTAAATGAAGCGGAACGAGGGGCCACAAATTGCCGCTGAAAGTGTGCAAATGACGGAGGGCGGAAAATTGTGTAAAAAATAAAGCAAGACTTCAAGACAATTTCCGCAGAACGAGCTGGGACACGGAAACTGCGCCCAGAAGCAGGCAGCAGAAAATTCCACAGCCTACGTGTGCAAAGGGGCAAAAGGCGTGACGGTAACGAGCCTGTATCGCTTTCCCCCAGTCCCAGCTACTTTCCCTCACTGTCGTCTCGTCCTTGGAAGCTTGTCAATGTCTGGCGGAGCGTATAACATTTTTGCA